TTTGCCACATGTATATCTTTTTAAATTTTTTTAGATAGAGTTTCGCTCTTGTTGCCCAGGCTGGAGTGCAATGGTGTGATCTTGGCTCACTGCAACCTCCACCTCCTGGATTCAAGGATTCTTCTGTCTCAGCCTCCCAAGTTAGCTGGGATTACCGGCATGCGCCACCACACCTAGCTAATTTTTTGTATTTTTAGGAGAGATGGGGTATCTCCATGTTGGTCAGGCTGGTGTCAAACTTCTGACCTCAGGTGATCTGCCTGCGTCAGCCTCCCAAAGTTCTGGGATTACAAGTGTGAGCCACCGTAACTGGTGCCACATGTATATCTTCTTTTCTGAAATGCTTCTGCATGGATTTTGCCTCTCTTCTAGCTGTATTGTTTCTCATTACACTGTTGAATTTTGGGAGTTTTAACATATTCAAGGCACTAGTCCTTTATTGGACATAGTTGTCCTAGTTCTTAGCTTTCTGTTTATCCTCTTAACAGGATCTTTTGCAAAGCAAAGGTTTTAATTTTGATGAAGTCTGATTTATCAACTTTTCCTTGTATAGATTGTGCTTTTGAAATCAAGTCTCAAAAACTGTTGCCTAGCCTGAGATCCTGAAGATTTTCTCTTATTTTTTTTTCTGGAAGGTTTTTAGTTTTTCGTGTCACTTAAATGTGTGATCCATTTTGAGTTAATTTTGACGTAAGCTATGAGGCTGAGGTTGAAGTTCCTTTTTGTGTGTGTATGGATATCTCTCTATATTTTTTCTAATTTCCTTTCACTGAGGATGCAGCTTTTTAAGAATCTCAGTTTTAGGAAAGATTGTTGAAAAGGCAATCTTTCCTTCTTTCCTCCACTCAGTTGCTTTACCAGCTTTGTCAGAAATCCGCAGGGCTTTCTATGTTTTCTGTTTTGTTCCACTGATCTCTGCGCCCATCCCACTGCCAGTACCACATAGTCTTGATAACTGTAGCTGTGTAAGTCTTGAAATTGGGTGGACTGATTCCTCCTTCTCTATGGAAATTGTCTTGAAATTGGGTAGACTGATTGCTCCTCCTCTATGGAAATTGGGTGGGCTGATTGCTCCTCCTCTATGGAAATTGTCTTGAAATTGGGTGGACTGATTCCTCCTCCTCTATGGAAATTGGGTGGGCTGATTGCTCCTCCTCTATGGAAATTGTCTTGAAATTGGGTGGACTGATTTCTCCTCCTCTATGGAAATTGTTTCAACTATTCTAATTATTTGCCTCTCCATATAAATTTTGAAATAATCTTGTCTATATCTACACAAAATCTTGTAGCAATTTTGATGTAAATTACATTAAACGTATCAGTTTGAGGAGAATTGATACTTTTACTGTGCTGAGTCTCCTCGTTTTTCCATTTATTTCATTTTTTTGTAGTTTTTAGTATGCAGGTGCTACACATGGTTTTTTAGATTTACACCGAATGTTTCTCTTTTTTTTTTTTTAGCAGTTATAAATGGTACTGAAATTCTAATTTTGGATTTATATGTTCAGTAATGGCATATAGAATCTTTATCTTACATTCTGCAATCTTGCGGAACTCATTTATTCTGGAAGGCTTTTTGTAGGTTCCTTGGGATATTCTATGTGGACAATCATGTCATCTGCCAGCAGAGACAATTTTATTTTCTCCTTCCCAACCCATGTGCTCTTTTTTCCTTTGCTTGCCTGTTGCAGGAGCTAAAACCTTAGCATTGCATTGAATAGAGGCAAGAACAGACATCCTTGCTTTGTTCCCAGTCTTAAGGTAAAAACACTCACATTTTCATCATGAAGTATAATATTAGCTCTAGGTTTTTTGTAGTCACTGTTTATCAAGTTGAGGAAGTTCCCCCTCTATTACGGTTTTTCTAAGAGGGTTTTCATGAATGGATACCGGCTTTTGTCAGATGCTTTTTTAATGTAATTGATGTGATCATGTGATTTTTTTTCTTTAGGCTATTGATATGGTACATTATAACTGGTCTTTGAATATTGAACCAGTCTTGCATCCTGGAATAAACTTCACTTTGGTCATGAAGTATAATTCCTTTTATGTAATTGTGAAATTTTTTTCTTTTTGGAGATGGTGTTTTGCTCTCGTTACCCAGGCTGAAATGCAGTGGCGCAATCTTGGCTCACTGCAACATCTGCCTCTGAGGTTCAAGTGATTCTCCTGCCTCAGTCTCCCGAGTAGCTGGGATTACAGGCATGCACCACCATGCCTGGCTAATTTTGTATTTTTAGTAGATACAGGGTTTCTCCATGTTGGTCAGGCTGGTCTCAAACTCCTGACCTCAAGTGATCTGGCCACCTTGGACTCCCAAGGTGCTGGGATTACAGGCGTGAGCCACCACGCGTGGTCAGTCTGAAATATCTAGGTTAGAATTTAAGATTTCTGAGTTACCAGAGGAAGCAATAAATAGAAATAAAATTGTCCGAGGACAATAGAGATGAAAGCAGTCGACAATGGACTGAATCTTTAGGAAGACCGATATTTATGAAATGGTCGGAAGACAGAAACAGACGGATTCAGGAAAAGTCACTGAGGTTTAAAATCAGAAGGGCACACAGTCACAGATATCTACATGATATAGGCTTTCAAGAAGGAAGAACTAAATCATTGCTCAGATTACTATACTCAATTTCTTGTTATTCAACATCAAAGTAAAGGCGTTCCTCAAATCTGCTATGCACCAGGTTGTACTTAGCTTCTTCCTTCTAACACCTCCTCCCACATTGCTTATCTCATTTTGTGACCTCTTCATTCAACCATCACTTAAAACAGAAACCTAGGAGTTACAGACTTCTCTCAATGCCTTCCAAACCGTGATCGGCGTTAACACACCCTGCCGTTATAAATAATTCTGTCCGCTGTCTTTATACCTGCTGTCACTACCCTCGTGTAGTCCATCATCGTTTTTCTTTGATGACTGTAACAGCCTTCATTTCCAGGCTGGTTTTTCGGATGCTCCTACCATGCAGTCACCATAGTGATCTAAGTAAGAATCATGATTTCACACCATTAAACTCTATAGTCTATCCAGAGTACTTAGTACTGGCACTTCATTCCTTATTTTATGCCCTTTATTATTTTACATATACCTAAAAAATAGCTTCTACCTGATAATGACATAATTTGAAGTTTTGGGGTATACCACTGCCCTTCGTAGTTCCTGCGGACATTCCTGTATGGTGCATTGTTTAACGAGGCGTTTTCAAATTTTTTATTTTGAGCACATCTTTAATAGAACTTTATCGGTAGCTATTTTACCTGTGTTTGGGGCGATCTCTGGGGAGTGTTTGAACTTGTTTCTTTCATGTCTCTGAGGAATGTCCTTTTTCAGGATCACTTTTTATGTGACCCTCTTGGCTCAGTTGTTCCTATGCTAAGGAGATGGAACAAATTCAAATCCCAGCTCTGCCGTAGACAGGGTCTTTGTTACAGATTCTTGGTGAGTATAAATTTGCCGTCTCTGAGCCCCAGCTGAGACAGACTGACTTCCTTGTCATCTCCTATCTCAACAGGCAGATTTTTTTTTTTTTCTAATTTCCTTTCCTTGAGGGTGCAGCTTTTTAAGAATCCCAGTTTTAGGAAGGTCCTCTGCTTCAGTTCCCTTTGTTTAAAAGGGTTTAAGGCCTCAGCTGCTTTCTGGCATCAAAACCCAAGCTCTTCTGTGACCAGCAAACCTGCGGGATAAGATCAATAACAGCTTGGAACTTCCTGTTTTGGTTTTCAGTTCCCTTTTTACTTTAGACCTGGGTATTGCCCTTACTGGCTTAGGAGCTCAGCTGTCTATTTTAAAGGATGTTTATTTTCTCTAGCATTTCTAGGGAAGTCCTCCTGCCGCCAACTCCCTGTTACCTAGCCCACTGTATTCTCATTGAGGGTTGAGATTTGATACAGCTCGAACACTTTCCAAATCTAGAATTTTCCTTCCTGTTTTTGAAGAATCAAATCTAAATGTAGTCATGAGTCATATTCAAAATTAAAGGAAGTAGGATGGGTCGGGGTAGCCCTATAATCCCTTCAGGACTGTAGGTCCTTCTTTAGTCACCTCTCGAATAATAAGAGTTCCTTAGTTTTGACCTTTTTATCAGACGGGTGTTAGTTTGTAGAGCTCTTTTCCCATAGTGCCTTCTCCCTCGTGATGAGATTTCTGCCTAGAACATAACCCTTCCAGGGTTTTTAAAAGGAAACCATTTCCCTGTAGCCAGCAGAAAAGGAAATGCTGCTGCTGAAGTTTGATGCTTGCTTGCTTGACAGTTTCGAGTCATACATAATAAGCTACTGTGTTTCCTGCAGACTCTTTCCTTTGAAAAGGGCCAAAATCATGGGTTGCCCTTTACTTGATATGAGTCTGTACATGATGAATTTAAAGCAATAAAAATATTATGAAACTGAGAAGTTAAATCAATGTTAAAATAGCAAGTTTGGAGGATTGTGACAAAATATGGGTAACCTTAATCACCTGAGCCACCAGCAGGACCAGCTGGATCCCATTATCAATTTGATCTATTCTGCTTTTCTTTTTTCTTTGCAAGTTTTCTTTACAAATCTGTGAGACAAATAACGTATTTTCACCTAGTATTTGTTTTAATGATACTGTAAACTATAAGCTTGTAAGATATATCTAGTATTTTAAATAACAACATTTACTTAATATTTTCCCATGTTGTTGAATTTAATTCATTTTTTTCTTTCCCATTTCCCTTCCCCTCCTTCTTCTGCTCCCTCTGTTATAAAGATGCAGTGAACACCTTAATGCATTAAAGGAATGTTTATTTTTAAACACATTTAGGGTACACTTCCAGAAATTGAATTACTAGGTCAAAATGTTTTGTTTTTCTGACTTTGTCGCATAATGCCAAATTGCTTACCAAAAGCATGATATGAAATTCTACCCTCCTGACAATCTAATAGCGTCTTAAGCAGACTGCTGTCATTATCAGTGAGCCATTGGCCAGGGTTGTGGGGCTGATGCTTTCTTTATGGTTCCTCTGCAGGATATGGTGCCTGTCATAGTTGATTATTGCCTTCTGCTACAGCGAAAGTGAGTATGCATTTACCGTGAGATTCAATTATTTTGAACCCAGGTGGCCTCTTGTTTATATATAAACCATTGCTATGAATTCTGTGAATTTGACTGAATAGGTCTAAAAATATTAATTTCTAGAAATTTGATTCTTTAACAGTCTTCAGTTCATTTACCTAATAAAATTAACGTTTTCAAGACAGATGCTAAGGATATATCATTTATTTGTCTGCGTGGCAGAATAGTGGAGGTAAAGAACATAACTAACAAAAGAGCAATACTACTTATGGGTTTTAAAAGCAAAAAGTGTGTTATTTATATATATGTATACACACACACACACACACATACGGGTTTTAAAAGCAATCGTGTTATTTATATATCTGTATACACACACAAACACACAAACATATGGGTTTTAAAAGCAAAAAGTGTGTTATTTATATATATGTATGCACTCTCTCTCTCTCTCTCTCTCTCTCTCTCTCTCTCTCTCTCTTTCTCTCTCTCTCTCTCTCTCTTCTTTTTTTGGTATATATACTTTTTTTTTTTTGAGATGGAGTTTTGCCCTGTCACCCAGGCTGGAGTGCAGTGGCACAATCTGATCTCAGCTCACTGCAACCTCCGCCTCCTGGCTTCAAACAATTCTACCTTAGCTTCCCAAGTAGCTGGGATTATAGATGTGTGCCACCATGCCCGGCTAATTTTTTCTATCTTTAGTAGAGACGGGGCTTCATGTTAGCCGGGCTGGTTTCCGACTCCTGACCTTGTGATCTGCCCACCTTGGCCTCCCACAGTGCTGGGTGTACAGGCGTGAGCCACCATGCCTGGCCTGGTGTATTTACTTTCATGCACCATCACTAGATGAACAATTATACTTCTCAAAAAAGGCTAGAAACATTGTGCCTATGCAGTACTGTTTTTGTTTGTTCAAAATAAATCAGTATGAATAAATTCGATTAGGTCTTTTTAGTTTAAATCAAAACTATATAAACTAGCCAACCTGGCTGGACGCGGTGGCTTACCCCTGTAATCCCAGCATTGTGGGAGGCTGAGGTGGGAGGATCCCTGGAGCCCAGGAGTTTGAGACCAGCCTGGGTAATATAGGGATAGCTCGTGTCTAAAAAAAAAAATTTGTAAAAACTTAGCTGGGCATAGTGGCATGTGCTTGTGGTCTCAGCCACTCAGGAGGCTAAGGTGGGAGAATCTTTTGAGCCCCAGAAGTCAAGGCTGACTTGACTTAAAGTCAAAGCCATGATTGCACCACTGCACTCCAGCCTGGGTGACAGAACAAGACCCCGTCTCAAAAGTAAATAAAATAGAAAATAAACTAACCAACCTGTACCACCTTGTAAGTGATAGAGAACAAATCTAAGTGATAGAGAAGAAATATGAAGATTTAATGTAGATACTCCAAAATCCTATGCAACAGGGCTTGGCTCATGAATTTATATATATTCTAGTAGGCTGATTCAGAAAAGGTTGGGTCATACTTTGCAGTATCAGTAAAGGTTACCAAGAGGCCAGTAATTTGCCGTGTCAGACCTTTGATTAAGTCAGAGAGAGCTATGGTAAGTTCTGCTTACTTGGGGCTCAGATTTATTCCAGTATTTTAACTCTAGTTAGCGAAACACATTGTGCTTAGAGTATGCGTGTTGTTGAGAAACATTGCTTTATGTTACGCGTTGTCTCATTGTCTTCTTTATGCCTGGGGCCTACGGTAGAAATCTCTTTCGGGTGTTAGGGCCAGAAATACCTTTGTGTCTCTTGAATAGCTAGTTTACTTTTAGTTGATGGACAGTGATGTGTAGTTAAGTCATGGTTTCCTAGAAAGCAAAATGCCATGATTTATCTGCTAACCTTGCCCTGTCTTTTTTCAAATTAGTTATTCTCTTTACCTCCCTTTTACACTCCATTTCTTGTTACATGTCTTGTATTTTTAAAGTAGCCTTAATAGTTTATGCATCAGTTTTACATATTTTACTTAACCCTCATAAATAACGGTGTAAAGAGAGAGAACGTTATCCTTTTTTTCAGATGAGGAATTGGAGGTATAGAGGTATTTCTGATACTAATAAGTACTGGAATCAACTGTGATCTTCAAATTGAGCTAATTTATAAATGAGATCAAGTACCTGAATACTATATTTTATTTAGGGTAAAAAGGCTTATTTTTGTAAAATGGACTGTTTCTACCTAGAATGGTACCTGGCACAAAGTAGCTGTTCAGTGCCTGAGGGTTGAACTGCCGAAGCAGTCCTGCCTCCTGGTTTGCAGGGTGACTTGTGATCGTTATCTTGGATACTAGAATACTGTCATAGTGGCATATAGTTGAAGTGGGCCTAACAGTTGTAAGATGAAAGATTATAGAGGGAAAAAGAAAAAAATGGCTTACGTTCTTCCAAAATATTTTGTTATTCCCTAAAATATTCTGAAGATAAGCTTTTCTTTTTTATATGATTTGAAAAGGGATTATTCTCTATTTCACCTGTTGACTGGCTGAGAATGCAGTAATTTCTGTATTAAATCACAGCATGTAATGTAGAAGATAAAATCTGGTTTAGATTTTCATCAGTTGGGATCTGTTTATTATTTCTTTGTTTTTGTCAACTTCTTTCCTTTAATTTTTCCTGATTTCTTGGCATGTTTTCTTTTTATTGTGTCCGAAACAAATAGAATATTTGCTGTTGGACATCTCAGAGAGGAATAATAGCAAGAGCAGTCATAGTATGTCTTCCCCACCTCCAAGAGGAAGAGATTGCTTTCTGAGTTCAGCTCTTCCTGGTTCTTTTCATATCTCTTTTCTTTCTTCCTCCTCCTGCTGTTACATACACACTCCTGGATCAAGGGCATGGACGTTTTCCCTGGACCACAGGACAAACAGCATATGGCTTCCCTCTCTCTCAATTCTGCTTTCTAACGCTGAAGCCTAGATTGTACTAGATCCTGCCTCTGCTTGGGAGAAGCTCCAGCATATGTGTTCATATTCTCTTTCCCTCCTTGTCTCTTTCCCTACTTCTGGTCTTCAGATGCTAATATGAGAAAAAGAGGGAGGGCAGCATTCCCAAGAGATGTGAGACAGGTCGGGGTTGTGAAGCTGGACATTGGGTCAAATGTTCCCTCTTTTGTTCTAGATCTGAGTTGTGCTTGCTTGCTTCTCACCATACTGGCTTTTCTTTTTTATCAGAATGTTAAGATTCTTCTGTATATGGGTCTGAGCTTAGAAGGAAAGGTTGAATAAGCCATGTGATAGACAGTTTCCATCTAGACCAGCTTTCAGTTCCCTTCCATTTTTTATTAGATATAAGAATTCTATGTTAAATTAAACAGTTCAGTATAACCACTTAAATGGTAGAGTTTTAAAATATTTTTTCTGCCAGGTGTGGTGGCTTACGCCTGTAATCCCAGCACTTTGGGAGGCCGAGGCAGGCGGATCATGAGGTCAGGGAATCAAGACCATTGTGGCCAACATGGTGAAACCCTGTCTCTACTAAAAATACAAAAATTAGCTGGATGTGGTGGCACGTGCCTGTAATCCCAGCTATTTGGGAGGCTGAGGCAGGAGAGTCCCTTGAGCCAAGGAGTCGGAGCTTGCAGTGAGCTGAGATCACACCATTGCCGTGTAGCCTGGCAACAGAGTGTGAGACTCCATCTCAAAAAAATATTTTTTTTTCTTAGAGTTGCCACAGATAAAAAGGTTAAAAATGATCAGTTCCCTGTGCTACACTGTAGCAGAGGATCGTCAGATAGAAGTAGCTTCATTCCAGTACAGTGTTTTTCTCCTTAAACTCTTAAACTGGGCACTCTCTTTATACTATCCTTTGTGACATTTGGTCCTATGTATGTTTAGGGTCTTCTCTTCTACATTTCCATATTTGCAAAGTATCTGTGACATTAGCATTAGCATTGCTTTAAGGAATGCTCAGATTTTGCATAATACAAATACAGTCTTACAAAATGTAATCTAGTACTCAGCCAGCCAATTTCAGTTAACTTCCTCCATTTCCAGGGTCGTTTCTCAGACACTCAGGCCTGTTCCCCAGATTCTTTTTATGTTATGTCTTTTGATTGAGTACATTGTTTTTCTAGGCAGTCCTTTTATTTTCACATATTATGTTGTTTCTTATGTGGGTGAAATTATAAACTTAATACATGCTCTGAAATTATTTTTAACTTAGTGCTACCACCATTATTACACTATAATCACTGTTGCCTCATAGTTTCATAACTCAGAGAATTCAGTACCCTTCAGTAATATTAATTAAACTAGTGTACCTGTGTATTCCTATTTATATTTAATCATTCTTTTATAATGTAAAATCATTTTTACGATGTGGCAGTGATTACATTTGTTTTTCTCTGTAGAGCTAAATATATTATGGACATCTTTTGGCTACAATTTGGCATTTTTTTGTAAATTACTTAATATCAGACATGACAGGAAATGCATTTTTGAAGACTTATGCTTTATTTTCATAATTTGGTCTCTGTTCCACAATTTCACTTCAATTTGTTTTTTTGTATTTTTTTTTCAGTATTAGACAAAAGACACAGAATGTCTTAAGGCTTTTTGTAGGATACTTCTGGTTTGTCATTTTGCCTATACAAAATATAGGCTCTATATTAGCATATATATGATAGCCCTAATATCAATTTTACTTTGAAAATAGATCCAGAGTTTATGTAAACCATAATTATAATTTTGAACATTGTTTAAAAATAGGTGTTATGTAATTATATGTGAATTATATAGCAAAAAAGAAGTTATTTTAAAAGCCAAATTGGTGCTCTTCATAGATGATACTGCCCACTTCGAGTTTATGTCACTGTAAGCAATATCGACAGTTGTTAAGAAGCCATCATTCCAATGGCTGGTGTTATGTGTGCATCTGAACCAAAAATGTTTCTGTTAAATCCAAAGAGAACAAATGTTGTTCAACATCAGGACTATTGTTTGAGAAACAGAAAGATCTTAAATATCAAGACTTGTCGAGGAACTGAATGTTTAAAATTTTATTAGGGTGGTGCAAAAGTAATTGAGAATTTTGTTGTTAGACAAAAACTACAATTACTTTCTCTCCAAGCTAATATCAAAGCCAGGGGGAAAAAGGCCGTTTTAATTTTACTATAGCTATACTGAGATATAATTCACATACCATAAAACTCACCCTTTTACAGTATACAGTCCAGTTATTTATAGTGTATTCAGTCTGTGCAACATCAATCACCATATGCCTTTTTAAAGTGGTACTTGTATCTGAAAACAGAGCATTTTGAACATAATTTCTTAAAATTCATTTGAATTTTGCTTTTACTTTTATAAATAAGGAAACCAGCCCAAATCAACTTTAGATTTATTAAATACCGCTTGTATTTAGTGAGAATTTACTTACTCGGTTCTGGTTATATATTTAGTATAGACTGGCAAGTGTTAGAATTGATGCCCTTGTTCCCCATCAGACAGTTCTAAATTTGTAATTATCTCATAACCAAAGCAGTTCTTCACATTTAAAAAAGTATGAAATTGATAATGTACAAAGCAAATTTAGCAGCAGTCCTCCCTTTGAAGTTATAAATTATAAACTTCAAAAATATCTTTAACCTGAGCACTATTATAAAGTGAAGTTTATAGAAGGATCTCTTTGATCCTCTGTTACTCACGATGGAGTTTCTGTTACACTGGCCGTAGCAAGGCTGAGCTTGAAGCAGTAACATCAGTTCTGAAGTCAGCCCTTCTTGTAATCCAAGTCAGCACCCTGGAGAATAATGACCATGGGAGAGCTAAACATTTTTGTATGTACTTTTCTTTTTTTTCTTTTTTTTTTTCCCGAGATAGTGGTTTGCTCAGATGCGCAAGCTGGAGTGCAGTGGTGCGATCTCAGCTCACTGCAACCTTTGTCTCCCAGGATCAAGCAGTTCTCCTGCCTCGGCGTCCCACTAGCTGGGACTACAGGCCTGCGCCTCCACACCCAGCTAATTTTTGTATTTTTAGTAGAGACAGAGTTTCACCATGTTAGCCCGGGTGGTCTCCAACTCCTGACCTCAAGTGATCCACCTGCCTCGGCCTCCCAAAGTGCTGGGATTACAGGTGCGAGCCACCCTGTCTGGCCTGTATGTACTTTTCTATATCGCTTCTTTCCTGATGCACTAATAAATATTCTCCCGGAATGATGAAAATCTGTCACTGAATTTAAATTTTTTTATTTTAAGGTAGAGATGCAAGTAGGAATTGTTGAGCCTTATTTTTTTTATTTTGCTTCTTTATATTACAGCCTCTGATTGGTTGAGAAATGTGTGATTTTGCCATTAATCTTACCAGCATTACATGCCATTTGTCACAGGAGTGGTTGAGAAATGTGTGATTTTGCCATTAATCTTACCAGCATTACATGCCATTTGTCACAGGAGTGCCTTGTTTAACTTGTGTGGCCTTTACTGAATTTTTAGCTCTCTTTAACTCTCTCCCTAAGGTGTTTTGTACTGAACTAAAGCGTGTAATTATCTTTTTTAGCATGTTCCTTTTAACAGCACATTACAGAGCACAAGGGCTAGCAAATCTGACATTTTCTTTGAATCATTAGTTATCTTGTTACGCATACTTTTTCTTTCTTACAGTAAAACTCCATTAATCTCCATTTCTTTTGCTTGGCTAGTAATTGGTCATCACAAAAATATGATGAATTATTATTATATTTTGAGACGGAGTCTCGCTCTGTCGCCCAAGCTGGAGGGCAGTGGCGCAATCTGGGCTGACCGCAACCTCTGCCTCCTAGGTTCAAGCGATTCTCCTGCCTCAGCCTCCTGAGTAGCTGGGATTATAGGCGTGTGTCACCACGCCTGGCTAATTTTTGTATTTTTAGTAGAGATGGGGTTTCACCATATTGGTCAGGCTGCTCTTGAACTCCTGACCTCGTGATCCACCCGCTTCGGACTCCCAAAGTGCTGGGATTACAGGCATGAGCTGCTGCGCCCAGCCAATCAATTACTGATTCAAATGAAACTGACATGAAAATATTTTGATAAATATGAAATGAAGGGGAAAAATTATGTAAAATTACATTTGTGCATTTGAGAAAGAAATAAATGGCTATGGATTTTCCCCCTAATATTGCAAGTGCTGTTAATTGAAGGGAGGTGTGTAGTTCTGGTGCAGTTGTGGCCAGTGTCTTTTCCACGACTTCAAGATGAGGCAAAACCCAACCCTAGTCCTTTCAGGAGCTTCCTTGACGTTTTCGTGGAACTTATCATTAAAGACCACACCTGTGAATAAACAAACCATTAACCACTTTCCACAACTGACATGACATACATATAAAGGAATTACACATTTAGAAAAAAGTAAATCATCTCAACTGGTAAATAAAATTTGCACAGTTTTTGTATTTGTTTGAAAATGGAATGAACAAATAAGTGAATGATAGAAGGCAATACAATGTATAAATGAAAATGTGGAAAATACTCAATTTGACCATCCATAAAAGAATTGTTAAATTGTCAGGGGAGAAAAACCGAAATTACTGTTGTCGAGTGAAACTGGCATGATTGTATATTGCAGGTGGCAGCGTCAATTGATGCTGTGATGTTTTTTGAAGATAATTTAATAGCACATTTCAAGTGCCACAGATTTTTTTCTTATCTTTTCACTTAAGATAAATTTTTAAAGTTGAATGATTTTCAGGAATTAAGCCCTCAAATGGGAAAGACTTTATATGTAGATGTTCATTGTAGTATCACTCAAAATACCGGAAATAAGTAATATATCTACCAGTACAGCAATACTTAAGTAAATTCTGATTTTTCAACATATTGAAGCATTGTGAGTTAGACAAAATGGTAATTTCAAAGAATAAATAGCAACTTAGAATAATGCTTATGTAATGTATGAAAACAGAATTCAGAATTCTGTCTATGCTCAGTATAACTCAAATTATTTATAGGTTATTTACAGAAATATGGAATAAACATTGTGTGTGGTGTTGACATTTAAAGTAATTTAAAACAGTTTTTGCCTGGTGTGGGGCTCATCCTATAATCCCAGCACTTTGGGAAACCAAGGCGGGCAGATCACAAGCTCAGGAGTTTGGGATCAGCCTGGCCAACATAGTGAAACCCTGTCTTTACTAAAAATACAAAAATTAGCTGGGTGTGGTGGCATGTGCCTGCAGTCCAAGCTATTCGGGAGGCTAAGGTGGGAGAATTGCTTGAACCCGGGACGCGGAGGTTGCAGTGAGCTGAGACTGCGTCATTGTACTCCAGCCTGGGTGACAGAGTGAGGCTGTCTCAAAACAAAACAAAACAATTTTTGTTTCTGCAATAAAATTGTTTCTAGGTTTATATTTTAAGTATTAAACTTTTTTCCCCCTTCTTCCATGAATAATCACTAGCCAAACATTTTGGGATACAAAGAGTCTTAGCTAGACAGAGAAGCATATTGGCTCTGCAGGTCAGCCAGGACTATTTAAATAGCAGGAAGGAGGGAAGGAGAAAGCATGAGTAGTCCTTTTTATGTTTTTTTCCTGCTTCATTATGGCCACCCAGTTATCTGTTCCCATGTCAGTGTTGTCTTCAAGAAGCAATACGTCACAATAGACTGAGCACAGGATTTAGGCCTGAAGGCTGGGTTCAAATTCTGACTCTCTTGTTTGTTAGATATGTCACTGTGAGCAAACAATTTATCTTACCTTTTCTTATTTGTTAAAGAATTGTTGGGAGGATTAATTGAGATTATATAAAGTTTTGCAGTATAAAGCTCTATGTGAATGTTATTACCATTTTAAATAAACTCATGAGTAAGTTGAAGTAGGGACAAGAGATATACTTGGGAGGCTAAATGTAATGGATATTTGGCATGTTTCTAAAAGTTTTTTCCCCCCTTTCTGTTACAGGGATCTTTTATTTAGTCAAATGTATGATAAATTAAGTGAGAATTCAGTGGCCAAAGGAGTATTTTTGGAGTGCCTTGAGCCATATATTTTAAGTGACAAATTGGTGGGAATCACGCCCCAAGTAATGAAAGACTTGATTGTTCATTTCCAAGATAAAAAATTAATGGAGAATGTGGAAGCTCTCATTGTGCATATGGATATCACCAGCCTAGATATTCAGCAGGTGAGTTTATGGACAGTCTACTAACTTATGAAATAAGCTTCATTCCTTTATTGATTATATTTCCTTCACTGATCAGGCTGACCCTGCCTTCTAAAAACCTAATTATTTCTTGAGCACTTTTGGTAAAATGTATTCTAAACTTACATTTGTCAGTACTTTCCTAGGACCGTATTTAAGGAAAGCTAGATTATAAGTGCCTTGCAAGCCAGAGATTCTGTCGTCTTCTCTTTCTTTGACATCCCCCAGAGCACGTGGTGTAGAGTTTCGATTTAGAAGTTGCTCTGTGAATGCTTGTTAACTGATCCTTCTTCATCAGTTTGTTTGTTCACTAATATAGTTTTCACTGAGCAAGTGAATTTCAACTATGGCTGCTTTCTCATGAATAACAGAATATTTTTACTGTGAAAAATTTGATGCCATTTCAAAAAAGAGCTAGTATATAAGCCCAGAGTTTTGAAGTATAGAGCATGGGATAAGAGGCAAGTTATACAACTTCTTAGTATGAACAGCCAGCCATTGTTTGATAAAGACTTCCACTGTATCTGAGGTTCCCACAATAAGTTATCTTAATTGAGTTTCTTGAAATAAGTTTCTTAATTGAGGAGCCGTATTTATTCTAGCATAAGACATTTCACAATTTAATTATTTTTCTTTTTTTTGAGACAGAGTTTCACTAGTACAGTGGCGTGATCTTGGCTCACTGCAACGTCTGCCTCCTGGGTTGAAGCGATTTTTGGGCCTCAGCCTCCAGAGTAGCTGGGATTAAAGGTGCATGCCATTATGCCCAGCTAATTTTTGTGGTTTTAGTAGCGATGGGCTTTCACCATGTTGGCCAGGTGGTCTCGAACGTTTGCCTTCAAGTGATCCGACTGCCTTGGCCTCCCAAAGTGCTGGGATTACAGGTGTGAGCCACTGAGCCTGGCCCACAATTTAATTCTTTATTTCCACATTAGTCCTAAAAATGAGCATTTTACTCCTGCAAAGGTGCTAAGCCCTCTTGAGCTTGAATTTGGAAGGTGAACAAAAGTCTTAGACCAAAAGTTTTTTGAAAGTATGCAAAATCATATAGAAATTAAGGGTTTGGGAAAAGAAATTAAGGGTTTATTTTATTTCTGGGAGCGCTTTATGAATGACTGTGAGTTTGCAAAGTAAAGCCAGATCTTCTTTTAAACCTGCCTTTCTGTCGTGTGGGTAATTTGGAGTACTCTTCGTCGTCTGACAGTAGTCTGATGAGTTGAAAGCATGCTGTCATGCCTACCTATCACAGAAAAGGAAAAAATTTAATTTCTTCTTTGTATAATATTTTCAGCTTTACCCCAATACCATGTAAATATACTACTCTTTTTAGTGAAACAACAATTTCAAAATCTTCCCCTCAGTTTCTTATGTCTCCATTTCAAACCTCCTCCCCCTCTTCCTCCTAGGTTACTGCCCCATCCTCCGAGTCATGATCTGGAAAGCATTGTCTGGGTTGCTATTTTCATTTCTTCCCCCGCATCCTAATGACTCTTCAATCTGACTTTTACTTTTTCAATCCTTATTTTATGTACTCTTTTACCAGCATCTGTTCATTAATTCAAGAAGCATTGACTGAACGTCAGGCTCAGAGAATGCTTCAGTATCCCCATGAACAAGGCTTGTCCTCATAAAGCCTACATGTTAGCAGAAGGGTTTGACAGTGAACAGATCAGTGTAAAACAAATCCAGAAAACATTTAAATGCAGGTATTATGTTAAAAATCAAACTGGGAAATACGGTGGAGAGAGAATGAGAGACCACCTTAGATTCGCTAATTATAGATAGTCTTCTTGAGGAGGCAGTATTGAGTTTTGGAAGCTGAATGGTAAGAAGGAATCAGTAATGCAGATATCTTGGATGAGAAGATTGTTATAGGTAAAAGCTGCAGCTAATGTGAAAAAAAGAGAATTTTTGTCTTGGGTGTTCAAGTAACAAAACAGGAAGCATATCTGGAGTTTGGTATAGAGGTAGATCTTGCAGGGCAAGGTTTAGATCTTTCAGTTTTATTCTAAGTGCTACAAAAATCCTTAGAAAGTTTTAAGCAAGAGCACCCTGTGCTTTAGAGGGAACAGAATGCGGGGTGGGGGCCAAGTGCAGAGGAAGCAGAGAGACTAGTCAGGAGGCTGGTGCAGGAGGTGATTCTGGCCAGAGATGGTAACAGTGAGATGAAGAGAGATGGCCTGATTTTGGATGTTTTAGAGATAGAATTGATTTGCTGATGAATTGGGATGTGAGGGTGTTAAGAGTGTGGGAATGAGAGAATTTAAGGAGGATGCCTGGTTTTTGGTTTGAGAAACAGGGTGAATAGTGATTCCTTTGAGAAGATTGCAAGACTAGGGCAGGTCTGCGTTTGAGAGACAAATTAGGAGCTCTGGTTGGCCATTTTATTTTGAGATAGCTGCTAGACATTCAGGTGAAGATATCAAATTAAGTAGGTGGATATATGTATGGGTTAGAGGGGACGTTAAGGCTGAAGTAGTAAATGTGTTGGTCATCAGTAAAGAGACATATGATGATGGTACTGGCTGAGAGAAGGGGAGAGAGCATAGGAGAGGTCCCAGAGCAGGCCTCTAGAAAGACTCTCCGAGCACATCTCACTTCCATTTCCCCTCTTACCTCTCCAGCTCCCCCTTGCCAACTTCTGCCCTTCTTCTCTTGCCAGTGTTTGTAGCATTGTGTAGCTGTCACAGGGACAGAATACAGCGTACTGTATACTCAAACTCATATCTAGTCATCTTCCTAAATATTTTCTCACATTGATTTCTCTCCATCCTTCAAGGTCACTTCCACATTAGGCCCTTCATCCTTACCCTTGCTTCTTCCCACCGAATTTCTAGTTTGCACTTCTGCTTGTGGGTCACGTGTATCCATTCTTTAGGTCCTAGCTTAAATGTTGCTCCTTCAGGGGTGACTTTTTGGATACTGCAGACCAGGTCAGGTTAATAGCACTTACCACATTTGTCAATGATGAATTATTTGTGTAATTGCATTTCTTCCCCAAGTCTTAACTCACACGTCATTTTGTACCCCTACCTCCTTTTGGTGAGTGTCCAAGATGAATGTGAGTTCTATAAGGGTAGGGACTTGGTCTGGATTTATCTTATCTAACGCTTTATTACCAATCCCTAAGAGAGGATCTGAACATGTGTTCAATAAGTATTTGTAGAACTATTGACCAAAGGTAAAATGAATATGGAAAGGGGAAGGATAAAGAAGAAACAAAATTAGACGCTCTGAAGATCTTAAAGTAAGCATTGTGCTATTACAAGTAATTTCACCCAGAGCAGCTCTTCCCTTGCGTTGTGTACTTCATTTCAGTTTTTATCCGAGAAGAAACAAGAAACAAGAAAAATTAGGGAAGAGAATTCAAGACCTTTTCCATTCTTAAAGCTTTAAGGAAAATAATTGGTGACTCTGAATTGTATGGACCAAGTGGCTTTTCCTTTTCACAGGTAGTTCTCATGTGTTGGGAAAATCGTTTATACGATGCTATGATCTATGTCTACAACAGAGGCATGAATGAGTTTATTAGTCCAATGGAGGTAAGATGCTTCCTAACTTGTACACATAATTAACTTTGTCTACTGACTTTTTTCTCCTGTTCTCCATTTGCTTTTAATAGTTTCTAGTTTTATCAGTTATTTAAAAATTCTTACAGATGTGTTGAACTTGAACCCATTTTAGCTTGGGACGTTTTGGTAGTCTTCCATTTTATACCTTCTGCCATTGCTTGCTTGCTTATGTACGTAAGTAGGTATTTAAACACCAGGGAGCAATAGATAAAATTTAAATTAATGCTTGCTTGTTAGGCTTTACATATTTTTCTCCTAAGAATTGTTGATACTATAGTAACTTTTCCTAAAGATATGAAAAATTTATTTGGTGTAATTATTTTATATAATAAATGTACTATTGAGTAATGCTACTTATAGATATATTCTGCTGGAGAAGACTCCTGAAAATGGTGAGAGACTGTTATTTGTTCATTGATAATTTTTCACTTTTCCCAACTCAGAATTTTCTGGGATTCACTCTATTCTTACAAGAGACTCTACAAAACATTTGGACTTACTTTTAGAAGAATGAAACCCCTTATCTGTCTTGTTATTTGTCTCAAGTTTGATGACAGAATAGTGGAGAAAGAGTTGTAGACACATGTAGTGCTCCTCTAGCCCAGTGCTTTATTATAGTAACTATGTCCCTCAAAAAAAAGCAGGCATCTGCTGAAGGCATCGGTCGACCTTTTTGCTGATTTATTGCCATCCAAAGCTATCTTCAGTGCTAAGAAGTCAGCAGTCATTCTGTGGTCATGCACATTGCGTTTACTAGGGCGAGTGCCCTCTGATTCATAACCCTTCAGCTTTGGTTGCACCTCTCTTCCTTTGGATAGTTTCTGAAATTAGTCTACCACCCTCTTCCCCTGGTTTTGGGGGTTTTTGGCCCTGATTGTCTGTAATGTCAAGTATTTTTTTTTTTGGTCTTCAATACCTCTGAGCTGCTGCTCCATCAAGTCCAGTAGTTACCTGAAAAAGACTCATCAGCTGCCTCCTCAGTGAGGTCCAGTGTCTCCCTGCATGCCACAATGAAGTCACAATTTGGAAGAATTAATGCAGTTTCTAGTTTTGCTCAAAAGAATCCCTCAAAGCAGATTCTGTTTTGGTGCATTCTACATTGACAAGATGATTGCTATGTTTTTGTTACGTTGCTTTTTAAATTTTTGTTTTGCATGGGTTTTGTATTCCTCATATTAATAAAATCTGGTTTGCATTTATACTGATACATCTCAAATGGGACACTGGGCTATTGAGGTTATCTTGTTTTGTGTTCAAAGTAGTTTTCAAGTTTAATGGCTTTCAGCAGAAGCTTGGTATTTGTTATTACAAAGTCATTAGGAGATTTAAGCTGTAGGAGGTTGGGTATGTCCTATGATTACTCTTATAATTCTGTGCCTGTGAGGAAATCACTTTTTAGTGTTTAGAGTTTAGCTGTTTTAGTACTTAAAGAGGTATAAATTAAAGGAGGTGTCCTGTCATTTCAAAGTTTCTAGATTTTTTTAGAATGAAAGTGTCATAACATTTGAGATGACTCCTATAGTGTCTGAAATCTTTCCTTTTTTTTTCTAGTTTTGGCTGAGGTGAGAGTAGTGCCTTGAGTTGGGAAGAAAAACTTTTTCTTTACCAATTTAGGTCCCAGTGATGGGAGGTACAGGGAAAGGATTGAAGGCTTTGAATTAACTGACAATATGCAGAGTAACAGGAGAAAAGATAAGGATTATTCACTTGTGTGTGGGGAACACTCAGTGATAAACATCTCTGCTGAGTAGCCAGGGGCAAAGGCTTATATACCAGCTTAACAAAAATCAGGGAAGTAGGAGTAGAGTTAGGTCTTCAGTGGGAAAGTATGGAAAGTACTTTTGGGCTTCTTGATGCTAATGGACAGCTGAATTTGCATTTTCTGCTGCTAAATCAGTTTTTTCCCAAATAGGACTCTACCTCTGAAGAGGAAGGGAGGTCCATGGCAGCTATATTTTTGTGAGACTGCTTAAGTTTAGATGATATTTCTTTCTGTGGTTGCTGATTCTTTATTTTCAGTTTAAAATCATGTCTGTTACCACTTTGATGGGAAGTCCTTTTACTTGCTTACTAGTTTTTAAAAGAATAAAGCTTTTAAGAACCAAAGGATACTCTATATCAAAATTATAATATCAGCTAAGCTCTTTATGTAACTGGTATTGAATGCTTTTTCTCAGTGAGGAATATGACAACAGTGATTGTTTCTCAGTGACCCTTCTAAACATTTCATGTACAAATTAAAGGTTTTCATATTTACTCTTAATGGTAAGTAACTATTTCCGTCAGATAATGGTGATTAATACCATAAGATTCTTGATTATTTTAAAAATAATATCATTTGAGATGATGCTGATTGTTTTTCTATTAATTTTAATACAGAAACTTTTCAGAGTCATTGCTCCACCTCTGAATGCAGGAAAAACGCTAACAGGTACATTTTCTAATGCTTAATTTTTTGCTTTCCTGTATTCAAGGTATTATTTAAATGTTATAAAATTCACCAGTTATGTGTGTGTAGTGTGAATGTTGGTAATCATGTACAACCATGTGACACCACCATAATCAAGCTGTAGAAGGAGCCGTCGCTTGTCATACTAAAAAGTTTCCTCCTTCCCTTTGTACTTGATCCTTTCCTCTCAGCCCCGCTCTGGGCAGTCACTGATGTACTTTCTGTCACTACACTTCATGTAAATGGAATTCTGTACTGTGTAATCTTTGGTGTTTTCTTTCACTTAACATAGATGAAGCAGAATATTTTTTAGAGTCATCCATACTGTTTTATGTATCACAATATTTTGTTCCCCTTTACCACTAAGTGACATTCCATGGATTGAATATACCGTAAGCTGTTTAATCATTCACCACTTCATAGATATTTGACTTGCTTTCAGTTTGGGACTACTGTGAATAATATAATGCTGCTTCAACATTTGTGGACAAGTTTTTTGTTTTTTTAATAAAACTTTTTGAGATAATTGCATGTAGTTGTAAGAAATGGCCCATAGAGATCCTAGTTTATCTTTATATAGTTTCCCCAATGATAATATCTTGCAAAAAAGAAGTATAATATCACAACTGGATACTCATATTGAATTCATGTTGATAAAGTCAAGATACAGAAAACTTTCATTACCCCAAGTATTCCTCCTTATTCTCTTAGCCCCCATTCCTGACCCCTAACTATAAGTTTCTGTGTGGACAAATGTGTTCATTTTTCTTGGGCAAATACCTAAGGTTGGAATGGCTGGATTGTATGGTAAATATATATTTTACTTTCTAAGGTACTGCTATATGGTTTTCCCAAATGCTGTACCATTTCTCATCAACAATATTTGAGAGTTCCAGTTGCTCCACATCCTTGCAAGCACTTGATACTATTAGTGTTTTTAAAATCTTCTTAAAACTTTAGCCATTCTAATGAGTAAGTAGTGGTATTTCATTGTGATTTAGATTTTTATTCTCTTGATTATTAGCGATGTTAATTTTTTCATGTGCTTGCTAGTCATTCACATATCTTCTTTTGTGAATTGTCTGTTTAAATGTTTAGCCCCCTTTTTTTAATTGGTGGAGATGATCTGGGGTTCTCTTCATATTACTGAATTGTTAAGAGTTGCAAGATGGTGAGCTTGCCATCAGAGCCTGGAAGAGTGTTTTTTTAATGTAGTCTGGATGTAAGCCCTTTTCCAGTATGTTTGGCAAAAATTTTATTATCATCCATAGCTTGCTTTTTTGTTTTTTTTTAACCATGTTTTTCAAAGAGCAAAAGTTTTTAATTTTCATGAAGTTCATCTTATTAATTTTTTTTTATCATTTAGGCTTTTGGTATTCTGTTTAAGAAATCTTGGTTCAATCCAGTGTCATAAATATCTTCTCTTACATTTTCTTGTAGAAATTTAATAGTTTTAATGCTTGTGTTTAGATCTGTAATTCATTTTGAGTTAATTTTTATAAATGATGCAAGGTCAAGTTCAGGGATTTTTTTTCCTTACAGCTGTCAGTTGTTCCTGTAAGTCTTACCATCTATTAATAAGATTATCTTACTTTCACTGAATTACCTTGGCACCTTTGTGAAAAGTCAAGTGACCATATCACTGTGGGTCTGTTTCTGTGTTCTCTGTTCTGTTATACTGAGCTATATGTCTGTCGTCCAGTAGTGCGCTGTCTTGATTATTGTGACTTCATAGTAAGCCTCAAAATAGCACATTTTAAATCCTACAATGTTGTTTTTCTGTTTCAAAATTGGTTTATCTAGTCCATATTCTTTGTCTTTCTATATAAACGTTAAAATCGGCTCATCAGTTTTTTTTTGGAAAGTGTATTTGAATTTTCTTTACAGGTGCGTATTGAAGCCATAGATTAATTTGGAGAGAGAACTCTATCTTAACACTGTAGAATTTTCTAATCTATGAATATGAAATGTTTTTTATTTTTATCCTTTAAAATTAATTAATTTTCTTTTGGAGACGAAGTCTTACTTTGTTAGTCAGGCTGGAGTACAGTGGTGTGATCATAGTTTATTGCAGCTTCAAACTTATGGGATCAAGTCATCCTCCTGCCTCAGCCTCCCAAGTAGATGGGACTATAGGCCACCATGTCCTGATGAGTTAAAAAAAAATTCTTAAGATAGGGTCTTGCTATCCTATCTTGGCTCACTGCACCCTCTGCCTCCCAGATTCAGGCAAGTCTCTTGCATCAGCCTCCTGAGTAGGGGGACTACAGGTGCCTGCCACCATACCCAGCTAATTTTTTATATTTTTAGTAGAGATGGAGCTTACCATATTGGCCAGGCTGGTCTCGAACTCCTGACCTCATGATCTGCCCACTTCGGCCTCCCAAAGTGCAGGGATTACAGGTGAGAGCGACTGTGCCTGACCCTTATTTTGGTCTTGAAGTCACTTTGCTTTCCCCTTTTCTGCAGAAAAGGCATCTGGGATTTTGATAAGGATTGCTTTGAATCTGTAGTTCAATTTTATTACTATCTTTATATTACCAAATCTTTCATAAATACAGCACATTTTTAAATTTTATTTAGGTCTTCATTAATTTTTTTCAATGATATTTTGCAGTTTTTAATGTATAGGTCATATACTTCATTTCCTCTTCCTTAATATTTTATTCACCTTGATGCTGTTGTAAATGAATTGTTTTCTTAATTTTATTTTCAGGATGTTAATTGATAGTGTGAAATAGGTTGACTTTTGTATATTGACCTTGTATCCTACGTCCTTGCTGTATTCATTTGTTAATGCTAATTTTTAAAGTTAATTTCTTAGAATTTTCCAAGGAAAATTCAGATCATGTCATCTGCAAATAAAAATAATTATACCTTTTTCTTTCTAATCTAGATGCCTTTCTTTTTATTTCCTAATTGGGCTGGCTACACCCACTAATATGGTATTGAGCAAAAGTGGCAAGAATGGACGTCTTTTTGTTTTTTTGATATTAGGGGAAAGCACTCAGTATTTAATCACTGAATTTGATGTAGATGGTCTTACCCATTTGATGACATTTTCCTTACCCAGTTTGACTGTTTCTAACACGAAAGACTCTTGGATTTTATCAGATACTTTTTCTGCATCTATTAAGATTATTTTATGGGTTTTTGTCCTTTATTTTATTGATATGATCTATTTGATTGAGTCTGTATATCAAGCCAACCTTGCATTCTTGGGATAAATCTCACTTGGTATACAATCTCTGAAATGTTGCTGGCCTCAGTTTGCTAGTATTTCTCAAGGATTTCTGTGTCTATCTATAGTCATAAAAGATATTGTTCTACAGTTTTGTTTTCTTTTGATATCTTGTTATCAAAAGAATACCAGTCTTGTTATGAGTGCGTCTTGGTATGTTTGCCTCATAACATGAGTTGGGAAGTGTTCTCACTTTTAGTTTTTGGAAGAGTTTGTGAAGGGTCAGTGTTAATTTTTTTAATGTTTGATAGAATTCAGTATGAAGCCATGTGTGCCTGGGCTTTTCTTTATTGGAAGTTTTAAAATTATTAGTTGTTTTGGTCTGTTTTGTGCTACTGTAACAGAATACCTAAGACAGGGCAATTTATAAAGAACACAAACTTATGTCTTATAATTCTGGTGGCTGAGAAGTCCAAAATCAAGCTACTGGTACTTCATGTCTAGTGAAGTTCTTCTTGCTGTGTCCTCACATGGCAGAATTTGGAAGGACAAGTGGGAACAACCATTGTGTCCTCAATTGGCAGAAGAGTGAAAAAAGACTCAACCCAGTCCATCAAGCCCTTTTTTACTAGAGCATTAGTAAAAAAGTTCCACCCTCATGACTTAAACACCTCCCTAAATGCCCCCTCCTCCCAACATTGATGCACTGGGGATTAAGTTTGCAACACATGAATTTTGGGTGCCACATTCAGACCATAGCACTAGTTTAGTTTCTTTGTTTGTTGCAACAATTTATTCAGATTATCTGTTTCTTTTTGAGTGTTTGTTTCAGTAGTTTTTGAATTTCTAGACATTTGACCGTTTCATCTGCAGTATCTAATATGTAGGTATATAGTTGTTCATAGTATTCCTTCATAATTTCTTTTATTCCTGTAAAATCAGTAGTGATGTCTCTTTCATTACTAATTTTTGTAACTTGACTTTTTTTTTTGGTCTGTCTAAAGGTTTGTCTGTTTTGTTGATCTTTTCATAGAACCAATTTTGATTTTTTTTCTTTTTCTCTTTTTCTTTTTTTTTTTTTAGACAGAGTCTCACTCTGTCACCCAGGCTGGAGTGCAGTGGCGTGATCTTGGCTCACTGCAACCTCTGCCTCCTGGGTTCAAGCAGTTCTTCTGCTTCAGCCTCCAGAATCGCTGGGATTACAGGTGCGTGCCACCACATCTGGCTCACTTTTTGCATTTTTAGTGGAGACGGGGTTTCACCGTGTTAGCCAGGATGGTCTCAATCTCCTGACCTCATGATTTGTCCTCCTTGGTCTTCCAAAGTGGTGGGATTACAGTGTTGAGCCACTGCACCTGGCCTGATTTCATTTATTCAGCTTTAGTCTAATATTTGCTTTCTTCAACTCTTTGGGTTATGTTGCTCGTTTCCTAGCTTCTTGAGGTAGAAGCTCATATTGTTGATTTGAGATCTTTTTTTTTAAATTAGGTGTTTACAGCTACAAATATTCCTCTAAGCAATACGTTTTGGTGTGTTGTCTTCATTTTCATTCATCCTAAAGTATTACATAATTTCTCTTGTGATACTGGTGATTTAGAAGTGTGCTGTCTAATTTCTACCTATGTGTGAATGTCTCACATTTCCTTCTCATGTTGATTTCTTCTTTTTCGTGGTTAGAAAATGTACTTTCTATGATTTCTATCTTTTAAAAATTTGTCGAGACTTTTTTTGATGACCTCACATAAGGTCTGTTCTGGAGCTATTCTACGTGTACTTGAGCATAGTCATGCGTGGAATGTCTTCTGTTGCTGGGTGAGTGTTATACAGGTGTCTGCGTAGGCAGATTTAAACTTTCCCTCTGAAACTTTGAGTCTAATTCTGTTGAAATAAATTAATAATAGACTAATGGGTAGAAAAAGGCATGTAGTTTTATTAACATGCACAAACATTGGGTAATTGCAGGACCGCGGTTACTCAAAAACCCAATGCTTATATACCCTTTCTTATGGGATAGAAGGGAGATGGGGAAATAGGCAGTTCTTTTAAGGGGTCATAAATGATTATTAGAGGAATGAATGGACCTGGGAGACAGAAGTTAACTTGTAAAAGATTGTCTTTGGAATTTGAATGATCCAGCAATATATAGATCATTGTTGAGAGGCAGACATTATCTTGTGAAAGAGCTTGTAGAGGTTCGGTTGTATTCATTAGGCTCCTCAGTAGATAATGAGATTTCAGGCAAGGGATGGAAGGCAATTAATTGTGTTTTCTTTGGAGGGTCCAGTCTTAAGATAGATCACATAATATCAAAGTAGAGCCTGTTAACTCCAAATATCTTTAACCTGTTAACCCAGGCCTCAGTCTATTTAGAAAGTTTATTTTGCCAGGGTTAAGGATGCACCCATGATACAGGCTCAGGAGGTCCTAACAACATGTGCCCAAGATGGTCGGGGTACAGCTTGCTGTACATCTTATATGTATAAGATGTACATTGGTTCAGTCCAGTAAGACACGACAACTCGAAGTGAGGGCTTCCAGGTTAGAAGTAGGCAGGTAAGTGACAAAAGAGCGCATTCTTTCGAGTCCTTGATCAGCCTTCCATTGAATATACAATTTAGTCTCTTCAGTGAATCTGCATTTTTACATAAACAATAGGGCAGAGGAAGCAATTAGATATACATTCATTTCACGTGAGCCTCAGAGGGATGACTTTGAGTTCTTTCTGTCCTTTGTCCACAAGGAATTTCCTTGCGAGTAAATTGTGAGGGTGGCATGTAGCTTTTTATCTTTGTAGCTGTCTCATTTAGGAATAGATGGGAACGGCTTCACCTGACCTTAGCTCCGAGCTTGACTTTCCCTTTGGCGTAGTGATTTTGGGGTCCCGAGCTGTATTTTCCTTTCACAGGTCTCCCCCAGCTTATGCTGACCTTCAAGGACCCTTAATTTAAAATCATCTGCATACCATGGTGCCATATTTTGGGGTGAAATTCTCTGGGCTTCTTCATCTGATAGGTCTAGTTTGCTTATAGTTTTAAGTCTTGTTGTGTTTGCTTATAGTTTTGTCTGTTTCCATTTCATCTTCTAATTGTTCTGTTTTTGAAAGTGGGATATTGAAGTCTCCAAATATTGTCGAATTGTGTCTCTCTCACTTTATCAATTCTTGCTTCGTTTTATTTTGGAATTTTCAGTTCTTTGGCAGACAGTTTAGAATTCTGCTGTAGCCTTCCCTTCCTGCTTGCACAGAGCTGGAGTCAGCCATGGGTTATAAATTAGGGCCTTTGAGAATTTCCCTGGGTATGAGCAAAGCACTTTGTATGCATACAACCTTTTAGAATTCCAGGAATATGTTAGAACTTGTCAAAAGCCCCTGCAGAGTTCCCATTCTCCAGTTTTTCCTTTTAAGGTTTTGGTGAACCACTTATTAGTCCCAACTGCTAACACTGTCTCAGCCTATCGTAATGTCGAACAATGGCACTGACGGTTTTCACAAAGGTCCTGGGGATAGTGCTGTTCCCACAGAGTGAGTTCTGAGTCAGGACAAAAAAGGATAAGGCCTGAAAATGGAGCTTTTAAGTAAGCTGCCAGATAGGTCAAATAGTGACAACTCTCTGAGGATGGGGCATTTGAGGGGCTACAAGACTGACACAGGAATTTTCTCTCGGTGCTTTGCTGGACTTGCAGCAGGGGCGCCCTGTCTCTCGGCCGCCGCGCTCAGCCCCTTGCAGGAGGGAGCACATGAGCAAGCAAGTGTGGGATCCGGCTGGCCACTCCAAACACCAGCACAGGAGCAAGCTCTGTGTGAGGCCTGTGGCCAGACTAGGCGTGTTGCCTTGAGGGGAATGCAGCAGCACCCAGGCACGGGTACCCGCGACCCTGAAGCCCCAGACAGGGTGTTAGTGTGCTCATTAGCTCTTTTAGTTTTACCATCCACGGCAATGATGGACGGCAGCATGTTAGCAGCTCAGTTGGCCTCTGGCCCCATTGTGTAGGGTGGCTGCCCTCTGCCAGCAAAGGTAAAAGGCCAGTGTGACAGACTTTCTGGGTACCTGCACTTATTGGGTCCCCAGCTCTTTTCCAGCGTCCGGGAAGAATGAGGATACACTGACAGTTGAAGAGAGAGCAAGGTGGGGAGTTTATTGAGTGATGAAACGGCTTTCTGCAGAGTTGGGATGTGGGGATGTCCCCCTACCCAAAGGCAGGAAAGTCCCCTCAATGTGGCTGAGTCTGGGGCTACTATGGGATCAGAATAGGGGAGGGGCAGGCCATAGGCAGTATTGGAAAAGGCAGCATTTGATTGGTTAAAAGGCATTCTTCAGAAATAATCAATTGGGAAATGGTGGGCAAACAGGAACAGAAGTGCTCACCCCGGGTTGCAGGTTTCATTGGGCACCAACAGTCTGGTCTTTCCGCTTCAGGCTGTTTTGTGGCTTGAAGGTGGGGTTTCACCAGGGACCTGCCCCCATCTGCCCAGGCATTTGGCTGCCTCCTGGCACTATCAAACGCACTTTGCTTCAGTGGTTTTCACAGCTGCCCGAGTTGTAAGGCAATATTGGTTTTCAAAACTACAGTAGAGCTGCGGAAAGGGAGATGGCAGTACATAAAATTAAAAAGATTCTGCATTTTTCTGAATAAACATTCCTCAGATTACGGCAGATTTTTCATTAATTCCAAGAGTTCTGAAAGAGTGGATTTGACAGTTTTTACCAGTATTTGTATTGCTTTATGGAGGAGATTTTGCAGGCCCTTGCTCCACCGTTTCCGAGGTCTGCTGCTTTGGGTTCTGTTTGGTCTTTCCTCTCAGCTTTTCACCTCGGGTGATTTCTGTTTCTCTTCCTTCAGATTCATTTGGTCTTCTAGCTGTTAAATCTGCTTGGTGATTTTTTGTTTTCAACAGTTATATTTTCCAGTCTAACTTCCATTTAGTTCTTGTTTCTGTTTTCTCTCCTGCAACTCTTAATTTATCTGTTGAAATTTTTATGCGCTGAAACTGTTTATTTTGCTTAAGGATAATTATAATAGTGCTTTAAAATCTTTGCTTGTTCTCACATTTTGTTCGTTTCAGGATTGGACTCGATTCACTTTGTTTTAAGAAGAATATGTTTTCTTGGTTTTTCATGTTGAGTAATTTTGGACTGTATCTGGATATTCTGAGTGTTGTATTGTGTGGAGAGTGTGGCTTCTCCAGTGAATATTTTTTCCATTGTTTTTCAGGTATTTTTCGCCACTGAGTATTTTTTCCATTGTTTTATTAGATAATTTTCTTGGTGGACTTGAATTGCAAACTCTTTCTCTTATGCAGCTCCAGTCTCCTCAGGTCATTTCTGGGTAACTGATCTGCTTTGATTCTGATCCACATGTATGGTTTGGGGATCAGGTAGTGATGAGGGTAGACAGAGTTTGGGATCCTTCCTCTTTCTCTTTTCTTTGCAAGATTCCCCTAATTTTTAATCTGTTTATGTTTGTAAACTTCACATTTCCGCAGAGGGTTTTAAGAACTTCGTATTTAAAGGGTAGAGAGTGGACAAGAGGTAAAAGAGGTTGTGCATTCGTCTCATGCTCAGTAAATCTGCATTTTACATAAGGCGAAGTAAACAGAAGAGAGGAAGAAGCCAAATATGCATTTGTCTTGGGATGGACTGAGGCATCATATCTAGTCTTGTCTGTGGTGCCTGTGAAGATCACCTATTAATCGACATTGTCAGCGTGAGGGAGGCCACCTGGGTAGACATGGCCTTCTGTCTTGCAGCAATCTGTTTAGTAAGAAAAGGGAGGCACATTTTTCATTCGTTTGTTTTTGTTTTTTTACGTGACTCAGTTCCCAAGTTTAACTCTTCCTTTTGGCATAGTGAGTTTGGGGTCCTTCTTTCACAGGCGTTTATCTAGTTAGCCAATAGACGTTGCATTGTTATGCCTTGAAGGTGATGATCACCATGTGTCAGTTGATTTGGATCAAATAACATTTGGAACAGAAGCAAAATGTCATTGTTCATACATTTGGAGCAATTCAAGTTTCCATGCATTAACATCACAGATTGAGTATTCATGAAGGATTACTGATAAAGGCATACACTTGCTTGCATTATGGCCAGTATTCGTCTACCAAAAATAGGAACTCCAGCTCTTCATTACAGCCATCATCTGCATGGCCTAGGTGTTCCCAGTCACTCCACCCTGTTGATGCTCCTGCTCCATTCTGAGTTGAGCTTGACCCCATGGCTTCAAACTTTGTCACATTATCCTTCCGATTTCTTTAATCAAAAAACAGGCTCATGTCACCAGATGGCAGAGTCTCACGTTTTTTTATATAGCTTAGCATAGGAACGGCCCTAAAGATCGTTTAGTTCAGTTCTGTTACTTTAAACATTTGGGAACAATGACCTTTTCAGCCCTAGAGCATTATGGGTGATAAAAGTCCACATTACAGATAAGAAGACAGTATATTATGCCTTAACATTGATGAATTGGTTCTGATGTGCAGTTCATCAACTCGTTGCCTGCCCCACACCTTCCCTTAGTCCCAAGTTAGTGGTTAGGCCAACAATACGTACATCTCTACCCTCAGATCTATTTCTTCTGCATGTATCCTTGAATAACTTATATTGCTCTTGTGTCTGTGAAAAGAATCTAGTGAAAATTTAAAAAAATAATAATGTAGTCTTACCTCAACTCTCTGTTATTTAGGAATATATTTACCTCACCTTAAATGTCAAAGTTTGTTTTTTTGTTTCTACATAAAGATTATATTTCTGAAAAGGTTTTGAGAGAAAATTGCTGAAGAAACTTCTCTTTCTATTTTAGATGAACAAGTTGTTATGGGCAATAAGCTTCTTGTATATATTAGGTAAGATCGTTTTATGTATTCATCTGCATGTATGTTCTTGCCATATTTTTCCTATATTTTTAGAGATACTGTGACCTTTTATCTATATAGTACTTTTTATTTTTCAAAATTCTTCTATGTAGAGCAGTGGTTCTCAACCATGGATAATTTTGTCCCCTGCTTCCTAGAGATGTTTGGCAACATCTAGAGACATTTTTGGTTGTTACAACTGGGGCTAGAGAAGGGATGCTACTGGTATCTAGTGGGCAGAGGCCACAGGTGCTGCTAAATGTCTTACAATGCAGAGTAGTCCCCACAACAGAGAATTATCTGGCCTGAAATACCAGTAGGGCTGAGGGTGAGAAACACGGGTGCCGAAACCCAGCCTTTTTATGTTTACTACTGACGACTATATGGAGAGTGTGTTGTCTCTATTTTATATATGAGGGCAAGAGACTTGTTCAAATTATGAAAAAGTTAGTGACAGAGGTAAAACTAGAATGTTTATCTCCTGGCTCCTGGAGCAGGGTTCATTCCAGTAGACTGCGCAAGCTCAGAATTGAGTCCTGAGAGAACTTGTAGGTGGCTATTTGACAGGAAGGTGGGAAGGTGGCAGAACCTAGCGGTACATCATTTTCGCTCATATGTAACGTCAGGTTAACCGCGAAACCTGTTTCACACTTGTTACATCAGTTCTTTAGTGCAAAAGAAATAAGCATTTACTTAGCGCTTTATCATCTGTACTTTAAACTCTTCAGGATGTCTGGTGTCCAGTTGTCGCCAGTCTAACACTGAAAATTATAGTTCAAAAAGGTTTAAAATCTGCCCCCTCCAAAAAAAAAGGAAAAAAGGTAGACATGTTCAGATGACATTTGTAGTAATTCAGCTCACAAGGCAAGTCATTAGCCATGCAGAAGGTCTGATTTGGAGGTAAAACTATAGGGTGAATTTCTCCTCAGAGTCTAACTCCCCCTGGTTTGTCCTGTAGCAGGCATTTTCCAGATATTTAGCCTAGCTCTATCCCCATCTTTAATCACCATTCTTAGAGCCCCTGGTTTAAAAGTATCTGAGAACACCAGACTTCGAACAGGTTAATCATAGTATATGGTGGCACGAGGCACCATCTTTCTAGATGCTGAGAGTGAGGCCTTTGGCAGTCTGTCCTCATTCCTTCTTGCCCCTTTATTAGAGCATTGGTTTTTCTTAGGAAACATGAATACACGAGAGCTCCCACTCAGTCACAGGATGCATTACTTCACCTCCATGTCTGTCGTCCACGTTTTCTAAACTGGGTGTCATCCTGATCTGCTTTGGAACTTAGCTGACAAAAGCTGAGCCTACTTCAATATTGAACTAGTATCTCAAGTTTGAGAAACAGTGTTGCTACTCACTTGAAAGTTATCCCTTTACAAGTCACCGGATCTGTTCTCATTCTTTTCTTCTAGCTGTTGTCTGGCAGGTCGTGCCTATCCCCTTGGTGACATCCCTGAAGATCTTGTTCCCTTGGTTAAAAACCAGGTTGGTACTATTTTCATAGCTTTTTACTGTTCTGTGTCTCTTGTTAAGATGCACTGAAGACAGACTGCAGTTGAGGATTACACACGGGTCAGGAGCAATCACCTGTCACAGGCGAGGGCTTACACACTATTGCTAAAGTCAGTAATTACAGCTGAGGGAGAATTTAAGAGAGAACTTATAATGTAGTAGCAATTTAAACTGAATTCAGCCTATCTTTAGTTTATCCAAATGGGACTCGCTGCTTCAGCAAGATACTCTGGAAAGTGAGAAAATAATCAACATTTTTTTCCCAACCTTCAGGTTTTTGAATTTCTAATTCGCCTGCATTCAGCAGAGGCTTCTCCTGAGGAAGAAATCTATCCTTATATTCGGACTTTGCTACATTTTGACACAAGAGAATTTCTAAATGTATTGGCACTGGTAAGAGATAGTATTATTTTAATGTGTTTTCAAAGAAGACAGAGCAATAGTGTTTTGGCCAGGCGCAGTGGCTCACACCTGTAATCCCAGCACTTTGGCAGGCTGAGGCAGGCAGATAACCTGAGGTTAGGAGTTCCAAACCAGCCTGGCCAACATGTGAAACCTCGTCTCTACTAAAAATATAAAACTTAGCTGGGCGTGGTGGCAGGTGACCGTAATCCCAGGTACTTGGGAGGCTGAGGCGTAAGAATTGCTTGAACCTGGGAGGCGGAGGTTGCAGTGTGCCAACTGCATTCCAGCCTGGGCTACAGAGAGAGACTGTCTCAAAAAAAGGAAAAAGCAATGTTTTTTATAGAAAAATAATAATTCTTATGCAGGTACAGGTTTTATGCACTAGCAGTAAAGGTTTCAAATGTTAATTTCGTTGTGCTGTTTATTTTTTTCTAGTTCCTTACTCTCCTCCCTTCCCCTCTTCTTTCCTCCCTCCCTTACTCTCTTTCTCCCTCTCTAAAACACACTCATCAGAAAGTTAAGTATAACCGAGTTAGATGTGGCGCATCTTTGATTTCATGAATTATATTGCCTGGCATGCTAAATATGGAAGGGAGACGCTGAAGGGTTTGCGGGAGTGATGACAGTAAAAGTAGCTGGAGTTGAAATGGAAAATGGAAGCTTTTTGCTAAAAAAAAACCAAAAACCAAAAAACCCCTTATACATGTTCAGTTAGTACAATTTGGGTGAGCCAGGTTTTCTGTGAAAATACCCCTATGGGAATAATTAGATAAAACATAATGTATCTTCTGAAAATAGTATTATAGTTGTTTTTTGAAAAGCTTTTGATATGGAAAATACTTACAGTGTTTAGTGAAAGCAGGAGACACACAAATATGCAAAACACACATATACACAGTATTTGGAGAAACAAAGGATGGAAATACACCTCAATGTAAATAGTCATTAACTCTGTGAGATGAAGCAAATTTCCCTAGTAAGCATATACTACTTTTATAAATTGAATTGCATAAATAAAATAAACTTAAATTATTTTAAAAAGGTAAGTGCTCATGAGAAGGTTATTATAATTTGAATTGGTTTAATCTGAAAATCTGCCATCAGAAGTGGTAACTTTAATTGCATAGAAAGAAGGGAAGGAGAACTTAGAAGTCAGATCCAGTTGGCTTAGCAAATTTTAGATGTCCAGAGGGAAGCATAAGGGCAGTTGGTGACTGGCACATAGGAGGAAAAGAAACAGGAAGTGATGGGGGAGGAGGTTTGGTGAAGAATGTTGGAGAAAACAGAGAATTTCGTGTAATTTTTATTTCTTTAAGGGCTGTGGCAGCACCAAGACAGATCTGGAATTATGCTGATGTCTGAATGATGATACTGGGATTTATAGTAAGGCTACAGGACAGTCTCTCTGATTTGGTTGAGAAATATGTGAGTGCATGGCATATCTTACTTATTATCCTAATTAGGGGATGCAGCATTGGCCAACAAGAAATACGCTCTGCCTTTGTGGACAAAAAGGATCCAGGCTTGTAGGTGAATGATTACAGCACAGTGTAATACATGCCTTAGGGAAGTACAGGATGCTAGAGGAACGATTAATGAGGGGCACCTAATGGAGCATTAGGGAAGGTTTCTTGGATAAAATTGGTATCTACACTGAGTCTCAAAAGATGAACAGAAGTTAGTCAGGTGAAGGGTAGGAAAAAATACTGTAGGCAGAGGGCTGAATATGTAAAAAGGCCTGGAAATGAGACAGAGCAATGTGTGTTCAAGTAATTGAAAAACATTCGGTATAGCTGCATCTTTCAAGTGTAAGGAGAAGTGCAAAGAGAAGCAAATCCAGAGAGATAGGCAGATACCGCGTGTTGCAATCCATAGTAAAAAATTTGGGGCCGGGCGCAGTGGCTCACACCTATAATCCCAGCACTTTGGGAGGCCGAGGCAGGTGGATCACGAGGTCAAGAGATCAAGACCATCCTGGGCAACATGGTGAAACCCCGTCTCTACTAAAAATACAAAAATTAGCTGGGCGTGGTGGTGCGTGCCTTTAGCCCCAGCTACTCGGGAGGCTGAGGCAGGAGAATTGCTTGAACCCAGGAGGCAGAGGTTGCAGTGAGCCGAGATCGCGTCATTGCACTCCAGCCTAGGTAAGAAGAGTGAAACTCCATCTAAAAAAAAAAAAAATTGGTGTTTATTTATTTGTTTATTTTTGAGACAGAGCTTCACTCTTGTCTCCTAAGCTGCAGTGCCATGGTACCATCTCTGCTCACTGCAACCTCCACCTCTCAGGTTCAAGTGATTCTCCTGCCTCAGCCTCCCCAGTAGCTAGGATTACAGGCGCTCATCACCATGCCTGGCTAATTGTTGTGTTTTTAGTAGAGATGGGGTTTCACCATGTTGGCCAGACTGGTCTTGAACTTCTGACCTCAGGGGATCCACCTGCTTTGGCCTTCCAAAGTGCTGGGATTACAGGCGTAAGCCACAGCTCCTGGCCAAAATTTGAACCTTGTATTACAGCAGTGAGTAGCCTTCGAAGCCTTTTTGGAAGAAAACTATATTGATTCTGTACTTTAAAAAAGATTCCCTCTGACTCTTGTGCCTTAGTCAGTTTGGGGTGCTATAAGAAAGTGCCGTAGATTGGGTGGCTCATAAACAACAGAAATGTATTTGTCACAGTTCTAGAGGCTGGGAGGTCCAAGACCAAGGTGCCGGCAGATTCCGCTGGTTTAGGCACACCTCCCAGAGGCTTACCTCCTAATACCAGCCCATTGGTGATTAGGTTTTCTGCCTGAATTTGGGAGCATACAAATGGATTGAAATGAGGTAGCATGGAGGCAGGGAGATCTGTTACCACATTTTCTAGTAATCTAAATAGAAGATAATAGTGGCTTGAATTAGGACATTGACAGTGGGGATACCAAGATGTAAAGGATTTGAAAGCTATTTTAAGAGGCAAGTCAGCCTCATAAAGAACAAGAATCTGTGATAGAGACCATGTGTAGCCCCAAAAGCCAGAAATACTTACTGTCTGGCTCTTTGCAGAGAATGTTGACCCCTGGATTAGGAGGTAGCTTGCTATCATTATTTTACAGAAACCCCATAATCATTTTTGAGGTACTGCAGAAAGAAGTTTTTATGCCCAAATTCACAGATAACTCTGAACTTGAGTTTTAGATCTACCTTTGTACAGAAACTGTAATTCTCCATCAGGACCTCTTTGCATATTATTCCTCTAGTAAGCATCCGTAATTAGAAGCATCTTTGTGGGATGATAATGGTTTAACAATGTGCCATTTTGGTGGCAGATGTTAACTACCGCCAGGATAGTCATTAAGCATATCATAATGTTCACACTGTAGTATATCACCACTTAATTATGTTCACAGAAGCCAACTATCAGTATCTTTCAAAGGAGGGACTACATACTGCCGAAAGGAAAATGGTTAAGGAAATTCTTTTTGACTGGCTGTCACTGCTGTAGTTTTTTTAAAAGCATGTGCTAATTCTCCACGGTTTTGTATTTTAGTTGAATGTAGTACTTGTATTAGCAGATGGTGCCTTCCCTTGACCTGCAAAGTGACATCTCAGTTTAGCAGGCGGGGATGGGTGTATATGTTACTTGCCTGTTTGCTGTTCTCATGAATCCGAAGATAGAACTGAGAGAGACTTTGAAGTCTGTCTTCCCATCTTCAGTCAGGGTCATATCTAACCTTCATATATATCAAAATAACTTCTATTTGAGCCCTTCACAGTAACAGTTCCTACAGTCTCCTTGGTAACTTGTTTCAGCGTTTCCCAACTACCTGGCAGTAAAGCAGGCTAGTTGAAAAAAAGTCAAGAATATTTTATTTTTTGTGCATCAAACAGAAGGAAGGGAAGGACGTGCTAATAAGAGGACAACATGAACAAAGGTGCTTTGGAGAAATGGGGGGAAGTTCAGGTCCATTTGAAGAACAGTAACTACTCTTGTTCTTGAAAGTTCATGGCCATGAAATTTCTTTTTACTTTTAATCTGTGGTGACAATGTGTAGTTCATTTTCTTGTTACAAGAAAATAGCAATAAATTAGTGCTGTGCGCATCTTAACATTTCTTAGAATCAAATGAACTAAGTGAAAACCATAGGAAAGATCCTTAGGTCTTTCAGCATTCTTATTGTTCAGTCAAAATTTTCATTTTAATTTTTTGATAGTGGACACAGCCTCAGTTTCTTCGTATATACTGTATGTACTAGGGTTTTTTTAATGACATTCTGTTATCATATACTAACAAACAGAATCTGATATTGTAATTGATTTTGATGCATGTTATGTTCAAAGTATTTTGGCTCTGCTTGATCAGGTACGTAAAATAAAACTTGCTATAGTTGGCAGTGTTTTGAGAATAGTAAGTAGGCTTGAGAATTTTAACTTTTTTAAAAGCATAATCATGTTTAAAAAAAATGCCTGTCTTTGGAAATCATTTTTCTTAATTGTCATGGAAATTATGAAAGTTATTCTTCATGACAGTTAATAAACTGTGTCTTACTTATTTCCAAATAACATAGACTGAATGATGGCTGAACATGTAGTATTTTTTCCTTCTGTTCTCAAATTTTTGTTCCCAAATTATCATTTCCATTACTGTTCTCTCTCTCTCTCTTTTTAGCTTATGGACTTTGCCTTCCTTTCTCAAATTTTTATACTTATTTGTGATTTTTTAAAGTCTCAGAATACTGTGCATTATTAAATGACATAGCTTTCTATTTGACTCACTAAAAATAATGTAACAAAAGGCATATAAGAAAAAAAAACTGATGAGGAATAGTTACCTTATTTGGGAAATTACTTGGATTTTATTAACAAGAATTTAATAGCTTGTTTTCTTTTACAACGTGCAAACAATAATTACTTTTTAAAATTTACTTCTCCCTTGTAGACTTTCGAAGATTTTAAAAATGACAAGCAAGCTGTGGAGTATCAACAGCGAATTGTGGATATTTTGTTGAAAGTGAGTAGATAGTTGAGTTGTTTTATAGCAGGTTATAAAATAATTTTGTTAATTGGCATGTTGGAATCATATCTTAAAATTTTATTATGGTGTCTTTGCCCTCAAGAGCTGAATTAAGTACTAATCATTTATCGATAAAAATGTTTAGTGTATGTTGCTTTAGACTGGGTGCCAGAATAGAGAGCACTATGTGAGAGAGGCATATGGTGATAATTGCTATGTTAGTGTGAGTACGTGTAATAATAGAGACTAACCCAGAGTGCTTTGAGAAAACAATTAATGTGAAGGATCTTCCTGTGTCTCATGCCAGCTTCACTTTGATGCTAAGGTAGTGCCATATTCTATCATGGCACTGAGATGCCAGGTGACATCTCAGAATGATTTGAGGCACACAGAAATGATCGTCCCCTTACAAATCTAATTAGATTCATCAGAAAGCTATTTGGAGATGTATGCTGCTGCTACTGAATGAATGCAGGGAAAGGGTCTTTTCTTTTCCATCTGTATGACTTCAGGCAGACCAGGTTCCTCTTGGAGTTGAAAGCTTAGAGTTTTCATTTTGTTAATTTGGCTGTAAAATGGAGCTTTCTTTCTTTTAATCTTAAATTATTTTGGACAAGAGACTAGAATTAAAGTGTTTTCTGGTTGTGCATAGCGTCAATATCTTATATTTATAATAGTCCTTTATAATTTCCAAAGCATGTTTATATACATTATTTCTTTTGAGCTATCAATTAATATTCATTTAACCTTATAAGGCAGGCAGTGATGAGTATGAGAATAGGATTGTTAATCTGTCAGATAATGCCAGTTTGATTCAGGTGGCTAGTATGGAGAATTTTCACCTAGATTTCCAAAATACCTTTCTAAGTGGTCTCCTTATTCTCAGTCTTGTCCTTCTTTAATTTGTGATCTTGCCTCTCCTCTACCTAATGTTCTTCTGTGGCTTCCCGTTGATCATTTGGAATTAAGTTCTGCTGTGAGAGAAAACTCAAAATAACAATAGTTTCATTGTGATGGGAATTAATTTTTCTCATGGAAGTCTGAAAGTAGGCAATCTGGTCTAGTAGAGTGACTTCGTAAACTTACCAGGGATGTAGATTCCTTCTGTCTTAGCATTACACTTAGTACATGATTTCTGTCTTTCCATCCAAAATGGCTGCTCAGGCTCCTGCCATTACCTCTGCATTCTAGCTAGCCTGAATGTAGAAAGAGAGGAGGAAAATATTCCCTCTCCTCAAGGACACTTCTTAAAAGCTGTGTAATACAATTCTTATTGTATATACCATATTGCCAAGAACTAGATATAAGGCTCCTTAGTTGGAAACAGAGTCTGTATTCTTGGTAACCACGTGCTTACTAAGCATAAGGAGTTTGTTTTCTTTCTTCCTTTCTCGTTCCTTCCTCCCTCCCTCCATCCCTCTCTCCCTCCCTTACATCCATCCATCTCTCCATCTTGCTCTGTTGCCCAGGCTAGAGTACAGTGACACGATCTCAGCTCACTGCAACCTCCACCTCTGTGTTCAAGTGCTTCTCCTGCCTCAGCCTCCTGAGTAGCTGGGATTATAGGCACCTGCCACCACACCTGGCTAATTTTCGTATTTTTAGTAGAGACAGGGTTTCACTATGTTGGCCAGGCTGGTCTCAAACTCCTGACCTCAGGTAACCTGCCCACCTCAGCCTCACAAAGTGCTGGATTATAGGTGTGAGCCACCACACCCAGCCTTGAGGAGTTCTGTTTCTAAGTTAGGAGGGAAGACTAGATGTTGGAACATAAGTAATAATTTCTGCCATACCCATTTACACTGTGGAACATCCCTGATCCCGCTGTGTTTTCTGGTCCTGACTGGGTCTCTGTAACCTCTCCCCTCTCTCATCCGCCTCATCATCCCACCCCGCACACCTTGTATTAGGTACCCTCAACCATATTAAATTATTAGAATTCACTAGACTCTCTGTGGCGTGTTCATGGTTTATGTTCTTTGCAAGGGTTTTCTTTCAGTCTGTCATGCCTTTTCCTTCCTTTTCGCTCACTGGCAAGTTCCTAATCATTTTTCAAGACTTAACTGAGACATCATCTCCCACTTATCTAGGCTGACTAGTTGCTCCTTGTCTGTACTCAGGCAACACTTTCCATTCAGTTAGCACACTGTGTTGTCATGTTTACATGTTTCCTTATCCATCTTATCGAGACTTGAGCTTCCTGAAGGTAGTGTGTGAGGATTATTCTAATTATGATTTTTATTACCACTATTTTGGTGATTGTTTTCTCATGCCTAGAGCAGATACAGCTCAGTGCCTGTAACTCGGTAGATGTCAGGTCAGTGGAAGTTGGTCAAATTGTAATTTCAATTGAAAACTATACTAAGTTGGAAGAATGATCCAAATGAAGAGAAAGTTCCATAAGTACTTGACTTCCTGTGTTGACTTGCCATTCTTGTCTGTTGTCTTGATAGTGTTTACGTTGGGTCAGTGAAGAATGAGCTTTTGGGATTATTTGTCTCATTCCTAGTGCTAGAGATGTGCTCACTGGTTAAAGTGTGCTTGTGAGGGAGCCAGGGAGAAGAGGGGTATAGGCAGTGACCACAGAACAGGCCAGTGGGCATTCCCATGTGTGCCAAATGGCTGCCGACAGAAAGGGAAACATCTGTTAATTTGTGACTTTTTACAAGATTGCCCAGAAAATTTGTAAGCATGATCTCGGAAATAGGCTAAAGAGAAGTAGTAGAAAGGAAAGGGCCTTTTGTAGGATAATAACCAATTACACACTTGCTGAGGTGATGAGGGAATTCTCCTGTATATAAGCATATGTATATATGAGAAAAAGATTTTATAACTTGAAATACACACATATTCTTATAATGAGTATATACTTGACACGTGGTGATTACTGGACTAAAAGCAGAAAGGGCAAAATAGAGGGATGTAAGAAGATGTAAGAAGAAAGAGGTCAAAAGCTAGGGAATGTTGTCTAATGGGAGAAACCTGATACTTTATGTTTGAATGGAGGATGGAAGGAGAGGACTTGAAACTTTTTAATAACGTGTCAGGGTACTATACCCTAATTTGTTGTAGACGAGTTGCCCCCATGAATTCATCTCACCCAAAGCAGTACATGGTCTCCCCTCCCACACTTCTGCGTTCTCTCTGTTAATGGCATCATTCTCCCGCCTGCCAGTCAGGCTCAAAAGCTGTCCTTTTAACTGCTCCTTTTAACCACATGTTTCCACGCATAGGAATACTTGTCCTGTCCCTCGTCTCTCTGCCTTCTGTTTTCATGGTCACTGCCCTAGTTCAGAGCCCTTGGGTCTCTCCCTTAGACCCCTGCAGTCACTTGTATCTTGCCCTCCATGCCTTCTGTTTCTTTCTTCTGTTAACTTTGTCCCACGCTGCTGACAGGATAGTTTTCCCAAGCACAGCTGGTCATGACCAGCTGCCCTGGTGGGACACATTTAGGAGCTCCCGAGTGTTCTGTATAACACATGCCGGACTCCTTAGGGTGAGCTCTGAGACCTGAGCTTCCCATTTAATCTAATGTTGCCCTTTTCCTGGATACCGCTGCGTTCTAATGAATATTGTGGCCCCCCTGACAAACGTGTTTTTCTGTGTCCATGGTTTTGCTCTCACTCTTCTCTTTGCCAGATTTGCCTTCTCTGTTGACATTTCCCTTTGTCACAATTTCTGCATGGGCTTCAAAACTTAGCCTAAAAGCTGTTTTTCTCATTTCTTTTCAAATTCCCTCTCGAACCAGTTGAATTAACGTTTTCCACTGTGCTGCTTTAATCATTTGTGCCTTTATAATAGCAGTCATTATGTTGTGCCTTTTATTTAAGATGTGGCTGTCTTTTCCTTCTTGTTCCTAATTGAAGACACTTATGGCATCTTACACATAGTGAATACTTAGGAAATGAGAGCTGAATTAAAGCCAGAGGAGTGACTGTAATTTGGTAACTGTGTGTGATTATAGAAAGCCTGTTGAGGCCGGGCGCGGTGGTTCACGCCTGTAATCCCAGCACTTTGGGAGGCTGAGGCAGGCGGATCCCAAGGTCAAGAGATCAAGAGATCGAGACCATCCTGGCCAACATGGTGCAACCCTGTCTCTAAAAAAAAAAAAAAAAATCCTGTTATATAAAACCATGTGTTCAAGGAACTGCTTGATACAGGACAGAAGCCATTCACTTCATTGATCTGTGTTTCTGTGTGATAGCTGACTTCTCTGGGATGCCTTCATTCTCAGTTATCTCACACTCAAACCTCAAAGCAACTCTCTTCTTCCCTTGTTGATCGACAGATTTTTAGTAGGACTATTTAAATTTTTTTTTTTTTTTTTGGGGGGGGGAGGAAGGCAGGAAGGGAGGGAAGAAGGACGGTAGGAAGGAAGGAAGGGATGAAGGAAGGAAGGAAGGGAGGAAGCATGGAGGGAGGGAAGGGAAGGAAGGAAATCAAGCAATGAGAGAGACATTGCCGACCTGGATCTAGAGGTTTACAAGTTGATTTCTTTTTTTTTGAGAGAAGGAAAGAAAAAAAAAATAAGTAAAGGAGAGGAAGAAAGAGGAAGAAAAAGAGGGAGAGTAAATGGAAATATTGCTTTATTTTGAAAAAAATTGGGTATTAATAATGGCCAATCAATGTTTCATTTAAACTTATGGGTAGGTGTGATGAGGTATTGACAAGAATGTATATTTTCTGTATTTGAAGTGGAGATCTCTATAAATATTTATTAAGTTTACTTGTTCCGGATCTGAGTTCGAGTCCTTGATATCCTTATTAATTTTCTGTCTCATTGAATCTAAGTCTCGTATCTGGGTGTTAGGATCGTTAGCTCTTGTTGTTGCATTGATCCTTTTACCACTGTATCTTTGTTGCTTTAAAATCTATTTTATCCGCTACAAGATTTGCAACTCCTGCTTTTTATTTATTTATTATTTATTTTTGCTCTCTATTTGGTTGGTAAATCTTTCTCCATCCCTTTGTTTTGAGTCTTTGTGTATCCTTGCATGTGAAACAGGTCTGGATGTAACATGCCGTTGGGTTTTGGCTATGTCTTTTGATTGGGGGATTTAGTCAATTTATATTTAGGATTACTGCCATTTGATGTTGACTGGCTGTTTTATCCATTCGTTGGTATAAATTCTTCTTTATGTTGGTGCTCTTTACTTTATGGTGTATTTTTAGAAAGGCTAATACTGGTTGTTTCTTTCTGTGTGTAATGCTTCTTTCAGAAGCTCTTGTAAAGCAGGCCTGGTGGTAATAAAATCTCTGAGTTCTTGCTTGTTCATAAAAGATTTTATTTTTCCTTCAGTTGTGAAGCTTAGTTTGGCTGGATATGAAATTCTGGGCTGAAGGTTCTGTTCTTTGAGAATGTTGAATATTGGCCCCCACTCTCTTCTGGCTTGTAGAGTTTCTGCTGAGAGATCTGCTGTAAGTCTGATAGGCTTGCCTTTGTGGGTAACATGACCTTTCTCTCTGGCTGCCCTTAGTATTTTCTCCTTCGTTTCAACCCTGGTGAATCTAACGATTATGTGCCTTGGGGTTGCTCTTCTTGAGGAATGTCTTTGTGGTGTTCTCTGTATTACCTGGGGTTGAATGTTGACCTGCTTTGCTAGTTTAGGAAAATTTTCCTGAATAATATCCTGAAGGGTATTTTCCAGCTTGGATTCATTCTCTCCTTCGCATTCAGGTACACCTATCAAACGTAAATTTGGTCTTTTCACATAGTCCCACATTTCTTGGAGACTTTGCTCATTCCTTTTTATCCTTTTTACTCTAATCTTTTCTTCACGTTTTATTTCATTAAGTTGGACTTTGACCTCTGATATCTCTTCTTCTGCTTGAACAATTCAAGTGTTTAAACCTGTGCATACTTCTCGGAGTTCCTGTATTGTATTCTTCAGTTCCATTAATTCACTCATACTCCTCTCTAAGTTGTCTATTCTCAATAGGATTTCATCAAACCTTTTTTCAAAGTTCCTAGTTTCTTTACGTTGGGCTACAACATGTTCTTTTAACTCACCGAAGTTTGTTATTATCCATTCCTTGAAGAGTGATTCTGTCATCAGGAGGCGCTCATTCTCCATCAAGCCTTGTTCCATTGTTGATGTGGAACTGTGATCATCTTTAGAGGGAGAGGCATTCTGACTTTGAGTATTCTCAGCTTTTTTACGCTGGTTTCTTCCCATCGTTGTAAATTTATCCTCCTGTCGTCTTTGAAATTACCAACTTTCAGATTAGGTCTCTTGAGTGGACGTCCAGGTTGTTAGTTCCCAGGGCCAGAGCAGCGGCGTTAATACTGATGGTGCTTTTCTGCCCAGGATTCTCCTGTCTGGCTTCCTTCTTGTTTCTGTAGTAGGCGACTCTGCCTTCCCAGGACTCCAAACCTTGGTCAGAAGGGGAACCCGTCCCGTTTACTCTGCGCTGAGCGCTGCCGCACCGAGGTGCCGTCACAGCCGCTGCGCCGGGCTCTGGTATTGTGCTGGGGGCCGTGCGGGTCCTCCAAATGTGTTTACTCTGCTCCGAGAGCTGCCACACCGAGGTGCGGGCGGAACCGCTGCGCCGGCCACGAGAGTCACGCTGGCGACCCGTGTGTTTCCTTCACTGGGGGATCTTCTGCTCCGTGAGCAACCAGACTTTGTCTGAAAGTGTGGCGTCCTCTAGTTCTCCGCGTCTTCCCTGAGAGCTGCAATCTCGGGATGTTAGCGATCAGCCATCTTGGATCGTTCCGCAAAAGAATTTACTTTCTACTTATCGGACTATTTAAATTTAATTGTACAATGCCAGCCTGGCCAATGTGGTGAAACTCCGTCTCTACCAAAAATACAAAAATTAGCCAGGCATGGTGGCGCATGCCTGCACTTCCAGCTACTCGGGGAGCTGACGTGGGAGGATCACTTGAACTCAAGAGGCAGCGGTTGCAGTGAGCCAAAATTGCACCATTGCACTCCAGCTTGGGCAACAGAGCGAGACTCCGTCTCAAAAATAATAATAATTGTAGAATGATTCTTGAAGAATTCCTGGGGGAAACATGATTGATATTTCTTTGAAATATTACAGTTTATATCTCTACCTCCTTATCAATTCAGTTCTCATCCAGATTGTGCTAGAAATATGCCAAAAATCACTGAAATATTTTCAGTGTGCGAATAGTTGTGCTTCTTCTAAATGGTGTTAAATTCAATTGTTGCACAGTCAGTAAAAGAATCTTTTTACAAGTCTTCAGTAATGAGGCTGTCCCCTCTTCTAATTGTATGCTTTTGCATCAAACCAGATGGTGTATTGAATAAATGGTCTCCCTTGCTTCTCAGGTTATGGTGGAGAATTCAGACTTCACCCCCTCACAAGTAGGATGTCTCTTTACCTTCCTTGCTCGGCAGCTTGCAAAGCCTGACAACACCTTGTTTGTAAACAGAACACTTTTTGATCAGGTAAGTGTCTAGCAGTGAAAACGAAAAGCTTTTTTTCTGTTTATTGTGCACAGTTCCCTGGATTACACTGTTGCTTGATGTGACAGACTTGGGTAAATGTCTTATCAAGGAGAGGCCTGTTCAGGCTTTGGATCTAAATTAGGGGTGTGTGTGTATATGGGTGGATGGGTGTGTTTGTGGAGATTGGTTTATAGAGCTTGTGTTCTTCAAATTATTCTGTTGTTCTGAATTGCCTGGAATTCTTTGCTCAAGAGTTTTCCAATTTAAGAATCTCCCGCATCTCTCCGGTAGTGAGACTATTAGGCCCATCATCTGGAGAAGAGATTATTTTATAAAATCTCAATTTACCTACAAATGACTTTGCAGGCGTCTTGTAAGCCCACTTAAATAGCTCCTATGTTTCCACAGGTGGCAAAGAAGACACTTTTTGTCTGGAGAAAGTATCTAAAGATGACTAGCATTTTCTGAGCACTTCAGAATGGCAGACGTTGTTCCAAAGCTTTATGTGTGTGTGTTACCTTAGTCCTCTCAACAGCTCGAAAACAGGGGCAGTTATCTCCTGTTATAGATGAGGAAGGGAAGGCCTGGAGAGATTGAGTCATTCATCTAAGGTCATACTTAGTAAGTGTTGTTATTAGCAGCAAATACTAAGTCTTAATAGGGTTAGTATCCAAATTCAGGTGGCCTGACTCCTAAGTCCATGCTTTGCTAGGTTCGTGATATCTTATCAGGAAACTTAAGGGGTGTGTGTGTTCGTGTGTGCGTGCGTGCATGCATGTGTGTGTGTCTGTATAGACAACACTTCCTTATATCTGTGTTTCTTATAGCTATGTTTCTTTTGTCTCTCTCTCTCTCTTTTATTTTTTGGTCACCCAGGCTGGAGTACAGTGGCGCAATCTCAGCTCACTGCAACCTCTGCCTCCCAGGTTCAAGTGGTTCTTTTGCCTCAGCCTCCAGAGTAGCTGGGATTACAGGTGCATGCCACCACACCCGGCTAATTTCTTGTATTTTTAGTAGAGACGTGGTTTCACCATGTTGGCCAGGTTGGTCTTGAACTCCTGACCTCAAGTGATCCACCCTCCTCGGCCTCCAGAAGTGCTGGGATTGCAGGTGTGAACCAGTGCGCCCAGCCTCTTACAGTTATGTTTCTAAAGAGTAAAGAGATAAGTATGTAAGGCACATATTAAATCGTTGGCATACCTGAGCCTGATGTTATGTGTACTAGGCTAATCAGCTGCGAAGGTACTCTGCACCTGTGGTCTTTGGCTGAGTGTGAATGGGTTGGTTATTTGAAAGGGTGGTTATTATTTTTATTATGAGAGTACTGATGTCTGCATGCTTTACTCTTTCTTTGGCCAGGTCCTTGAATTCCTTTGTAGTCCTGACGATGATTCCCGACATTCTGAAAGACAGCAGGTTTGAACCACTAGAACTCTTTTTGCTTTAAATAGGAAACAAGAGTAAACCAGAAGGACCTCTTCTGTGCTAGACCTCACTACACGTAAGGGGCAGTGACTTGTGCCAAACTCTAACACGAAGGTAAAGTCATGGGGACCAGATAATAGAGTGGTTGGTTGTTAGAGGTACATGTATTAGGAGCTTATATCAAACTCAATTCCTAGAGCTGTCTTGCACCTACCGTGACATCAAAGAAACGACTTCATCTTTCCTTATTACATAGCAACAGTTAGGACTTCTTGTACCCTGCATTCCATTGGCTGCTGCGGTCCAGACACAAAAAAGCTGCAGGCTCCTGAGCATTGACATACCTAACTCTTAAGAGTGCCCTAAAACCCCACCTCATCAGGGCTGGCCATTCTGGACACTAGAATCCATCTGTCCCTCCACTCATTATTGCGAGATGGCAACTGTTTGATGACCACTTTCTATTCGTGCCACTTTCTTGAGGTTCCCTTCAGGAGTAGGGTTCTTTAAAAAGCATACCTGCCATCATTGTGGGCACTGAGAGAGTCAACCCATTTTGTATTGATAGCCAGATTTTGTCAGGTGAATAAACTGACAGTAAAATCAGTAAAATTACGTACTATGGGAGCCGTGCTGAAGGACGTGCTGAAGCACTATGCTAATTGTACACAGCTGGGAAGTTGAGGCTCTCAGATAGCAACAGTGACCCCTTTGTCTGCACAGCTGTGCCCCAGTGGCGGCTGCAGAGTATCCTAGGAAGAAGAACAGCTGGTAAAGTTTTGGTTATCTCTTAAATTACATTGAATCCAAATAGTAATGTGGGCCCCCTCATTTCAGCTGATTAGTGTGGTAAAAATTAATTTTATGAGCCACAATATTTGTGTTTGCTTTTTACTGTGGCCAAATAGACGTAGCACATAATTTACCATCTTGACCATTTTTAAGTGTATACGCCGGTGATACTCACATTTTGTGCGGTCATCATCACCATCCATCCCAGAACTCTCTTATCTTCCCAAACTGAACTGCATCCCAACTAAATCATAACTCCTGCTCCCTGTTTTCTCCTCCCCAGCCCTCAGTAACTGCCAGTCTCTGAATTTTACAACTTTAGGCACCTCACATAAGTGCACTCAGACAATATTTGTTCTTTTGTGTTTAGCTTATTTCACTTAGCATGACGTGTTCAAAGTTCGTCCATGCCACAGCGCGCGTGTGTCAGATTTTCTTCCTACTGAATAGTACTCCGTGGTCTGCATATACCTCATTTTGTTTAGCCATTCATCCACTGACGGACATGTGGATTGTCTCCACCTTTTGGCTATTTTGCATAGTGCTGCTATGAAAAGCCCCAATATTTAATTTTTAAAAATTAACATATAAACATGGATACCACCTGTGGATAAACAGGTTGTAAAGAACCATAAGACATAAAAGTGAGACAAAAGTTCACTTTTTGAAAGAAAATATACAGACATTTTAGCTTAGCAGAGAGTCAGTTCCGTGTCTAATAGGGCTTTATTCACAGACACTGGCGTTCTTTCCATGTTTGAAAGGCAGAGCCATTCATCTTTTTATAGGACTTAAATGCAGCATGATCACGTTTATAATGTCAGTCTAACCCCTTCCATATGTGACAGCAAGCCAAAATATCAACTAAAAAGAAAAAAGAAAAAAATAGAAGTTATAGTCTGCATGGCTGAATGCACTCTTAAAGAGCGAGTAAATTCTCAAGTGTTTTTACTCATTTGTTTTAAATGTTCAGGTCCTTTTAGAATTGCTGCAGGCTGGAGGCATAGTTCAGTTTGAAGAGAGTCGACTCATCCGTATGGCAGAAAAAGCTGAGTTGTAAGTTGTTTTGAAACTATATATTAGTTTTCCATAGAAATATTAAATTACGTTTCTCTGACTTAAAGCCCAGTTTACTGATGCATTGCTGCTTTTTTAATTAGGAAAGATTATACAAATAACAACAAGCTAAGTGTGAAGATTTTTGCCTTTTAATTGAATTCTAGAAATTAGTAAAATTTGCAGAAATTGATAGGGCATATTTGAAGTGTTTGTACAATTGCTTAAACGTAAAAGAATAGCAGTCTTATGGTGTTTTATTATTTTAGTTTTTAAAAAATTTTCATGTTTCATAAATTTTTTATGGTTATCTTAGGTTTATTAGAGACAGTACAATATTTGGCATCGCAAGTTAGATATAATATCACACTGCTACTTACCTAGTATGTTGTAGGTTTTATTCAACATGTAATTCTGAACAGAGGCACCTGATGTAAAATTTTGGTAAATTATCAATATCTAACGTGTTGACTGTTTCTTATGTGATACATTATGGCTTTAGCATGACTTTTGTATTCAACATCCAAATTTCTTTTAAACATAGTATTTAGCAGACTCTTAAACCTAAAGTTAAAGAAATAGCAGATACTCATCTCTCTTAGACATTTAATATAACTTTATCTGACAGTAGAAATCACATCTACTATACTAATTTTTCTTTTTTTTTTTTTGAGACAAGGTCTCCCTCTGTTGACCAGGCTGGAATGCAGTGGTACAATCATAGCTCACTGCAGCCTTACCTCTGGGGCTCAAGCAATCAACTTCAGTAGCTGGGATGACAGGCACATGCTACCATGCCTGGTTAACTTTTCATTTTCTTTGCAGAGATGGGGTCTTGCTATACTGTCCAGTCTGGTCTGAAACTCCTGGTCCCAAGCAATTCTCTTGCCTCAGCCTCCCAAAGCGCTCGGATTATAGGCATGAGCTGGGACACCTGGCCCACTTTTCCTAATACTAAACCTGTGTGCCTGAGCAAGTGTCTCAAAATAATAAGCTAATAACCACCTGCCTGTTTGGTACACTGAAGTTTTCCCCTTTGCGTTCTAGCTATCAGATTTGTGAATTTATGTATGAACGAGAACACCAATATGACAAAATTATTGATTGCTACTTACATGACCCTCTGAGAGAGGTGAGTCAAGACACTGCTTACCCTTTTTTCTTATTCAGCTTTCTACTTATTGAGTACAAATAACTGTTCAGTAGAAATATTTGTGCATGTGTATGAGCCAGATATACATTGATAACTAAAACAGAGTTCTTGCAGTTTCAGAATGTATAATTGAGTGATGGAAACTGACAGTAAATAAAACCAGTTATGATTACAAATTGTGATAAATGCTAGGGAAGAGAAACTGAGCGCAACTTTAAAGGATAATGGGGAACTGACTTACACAGAGTAGTCAAGGAGGGGATCTCAGAGAAAGTGACATATAAACTGAGTTTTGGAATTTGAGAAGCCAGTGAAGGAAAGAGCCAGGAAGAGTGTTCCAGGATGGGGAACTGTATATGCAAAGGAGTGAGTGGGGAAACTGACATGTTCAAGGGGCTGTGTAGAGATGTTACAGATACAGTGAGAATCAGTTCAGGTCGAGCGTAATAGAAAAGGGCAGCAGTGTTTTGAGCTGAAATTGGGAATGTGGACGGGGATCCCCAGAGGCCAAAGTGTGATACTCCCTCACTTGGCCACTGAAGATTAATACGTTGAAACCAAAATTAATTGGAAAAGATTAGTTGCTTCTAAGAGTCTACCCTAAATTTTAAACAATTACTCTTTCTTTTTGGGGGCAGAGTTTTCCATCAGTTAACTATCTCCAAATGATTTTTCATCTTCAAATAATAGCTGTTTACGAAGACTGGTTCAGTTGGTAGTGACTAAATCTTGAGTGAGTGGATGTGAGTACATTATATTGTCTTGTGCTCTTCAGGAGGAAGTCTTCAATTACATTCACAATATCTTATCCATTCCTGGACATAGTGCCGAGGAGAAGCAGTCTGTGTGGCAGAAAGCAATGGATCATATTGAGGTACCGATTTGCCAAACTTTTCACACTTCACTATCTGAACGGTCATTTAACCCAAGTTAACTTTATGCCAGCTAAGCAATGGCGTCTGCCATATTAAGCTGATTTAATGTAGGGTTGAAGTCTTTTTCACGTAATTATTCTACTTCATATTTGTTTTCATAAAGTCTGTGTCATATGCGATCTATTACATTATGACTTCTGAAACTAGCCCATGTTCAATCGGCTAGTGACAAACTATTATTAGTGGGTTTTTAGAAAGTTCTTAGAATGATTCTGAGAGTACTGCTTGTCTCTTTTTCCTAATATGTGCTGGGTGCCATTCCATCCAATTCTCTAATGGACTTTTAGAAAAATTACTGCAATGAGTTTTTTCTCTGATGTATTTCTCTTCCTTGTATAACAGGATGATGATTCTGACCTAGCTATGGTCAACTAATTCACTGATGTTGTTGCTGCATGCTATTTTACAGAGGATGCAAGTGTTCACTTCTGTTGAAACAAAAGTTGTTACTAAGGAACAATGCTTGTAGTTGTACAAATAGACTGCTTGTGTGCTGAGGGCTGTGATCAGAACGTGTTCTGAAATGGGACCCAAAAATCACTTACTTCAGTTTCCTTTTGTTCATAACATACTCCTTACCCCAGAATCCAACAGAACCAGCAGTTTGGTTGAAATCTATTCTTTTTATGTTTTTTTTTCTTTTTTTGAGACAGAGTCTCACACTGTCGCTCAGGCTGGAGTGCAGTGGTGTGATCTTGGCTCACTGCAACCTCCACCTCCCGGGTTCAAGTGATTTTCCTGCCTCAGCCTCCCAAGTGGCTGGGATTACAGGGGCCTGCCATCACACCCAGCTAATTTTTGTATTTTTAGTAGAGACAGGGTTTCACCATGTTAGTCAGGCTGATCTTGAACTCCTGACCTCAGGTGATCCACCCGCCTCAGCCTCCCAAGTGCTAGGATTACAGGTGTAAGCCACTGCATCCAGCCTCTTTTTATGTTTTATGTTATTTTATCTATTCTATTATGTTTATTTCTGATTATAAAAAAAAATTAGTAAGAAAAGGGGTAATTCTCTTTGGGAAATAGCATTTAAACTGAGGTAATCCTAATTTTGGAAATAACGTATAACTATAGTGTTGCCCTCATTCCTCTCATAGCAAGAGTCGGGTGATGGATTTAGAAATGTATTAAAGATATGGTTATTCAACATGTTTGAATTTTTTTTTTTTTTGAGATGGAGTTTCGCTCTTGTTGCCCAGGCTGGAGTGCAATGGTGTGATCTCAGTTCACTGCAACCTCCGCCTCCTGGGTTCAAGCAATTCTCCTGCCTCAGCCTCCCGAGTAGCTGGGACTACAGGCACGCGCCACCATGCCCAGCTAATTTTTGTATTTTTAGTAGAGACAGGGTTTCACCATGTTGACCAGGATGGTCTTGATCTCTTGACCTTGTGATCCACTCGTCTCGGCCTCCCAAAGTGCTGGGATTATAGGCGTGAGGACGAACATTTTTTATAGATAAGAAAAATTGTAAGAAAGGATATGATGTGGATACTTTTAGTTCCTGAAGGTTGTAAAGTTTAGAAAGATCAGAGGTATGAATAGCATGTTCTTGTGAAATATCTGACATGAAAGGTGGTGTAGCCAGTCCTGAGATATGTGGTCTGAAGTAGTTTCCACACTGCTGTATATAGGATTGCGAACATGGAATACATTATTTAATGTTGTTATAACTCTGCTAACAACAAGATGAATATATCTTGGCAAAATAACCCGACAAGTTATCCTCTGATTTTGTGTTTCATATTTTTTCCCTTTAATCGTGGAGAATTCTTTTTCATCCTCCTCTTCGAGTCTCCATGATTATACTGTGGTTCAGTTTTCATTTCACCTCGTCTGTGTTATACAGTGGTTTGAGCACGTGGATTCCAGACATGAAAAATGAAGCCACATCTCTGCATTATGTGAAATATGATAAATCAATCAATGAGCAGACAGATTACTCAGCAAACAAACTCACGCTGGGGAAGCCAGAAGTATTTTTTTTGAGTACTTTTTTCTCACATCTGCATATTTTTTCACCTTGAACTTTTTACTGTCTCTTAAGTCCACAGTGACAGGTGTATAAACTTTTGTTGAAGAACTTCCGTGTCTTCAATAATGTAAATACAATCAACATTAAATACGTAGGACAAAAAGTCGTAATGAAGTTTTCTGACAAGAAACACTTAGTTGATAGCTTAACTGTTCTTAACACATTTGGGGCTCTACACTGTTTTTTGAAAACTGAATGAAAGATTCAGACTTACGCCTCATAGTGTTGCACATGTACGTAAATACGTGATTCTGTTTACAGTTTCAGGCATCTGCAGATTCCTAAAAGTCTTTCTTAGATGAAGAATCTCTGGTTCAAATGTTTTTTTCAGTATGAAAGGTTTCATTAGATACTGTTGACATTTTATATTTTGAAATTTATAAAGCATTCAAAAAAGGACATAAACAAATGTACTGCTTAATAAAAAAAGTTAAAAGGCAAACATCGTAGGTCCTGAACAAGAAATATTTTATTTACATACCTCAGACTTTTCCCACGTCTTCTTTTCTTTTTTTTTTTTTTTTTTTCCTTTTTTTGAAATGGAGTTTTTTGCTCGTTACCCAGGCTGGAGTGCAATGGCGCGATCTCGGCTCAACGCAACCTCCACCTCCTGGGTTCAGGCAATTCTCCTGCCTCAGCCTCCTGAGTAGCTGGGATTATAGGCACATGCCTCTGTGCCCAGCTAATTTTTTGTATTTTTAGTAGAGACGGGGTTTCACCATGTTGACCAGGATGGTCTTGATCTCTTGACCTCGTGATCCACCCGCCTCGGCCTCCCAAAGTGCTGGGATTACAGGTGTGAGCCACTGCACCCGGCCGTCTTCTTTTCTAATCACAGTCTTTCCTCCCCTCTTCCCCATATAGCCGTTTCCCTGGTTTGTGACAGTTCCTTGCCATTTTGGACACTGTTACTGCATATGCATACATCCCTAAGTATATGTTTTTGTTTTGCCTAATTTCAAACTTTATGAAAATGAAATCACACTTTCTTTCTTTTTTTATTTTCATTTTTATTTATTTTTTTCTTTTGCCTATCTTTCACTGTTATCTTTTTTTTTTTAATTGTACTTTAGGTTCTGGGGTACATGTGCAGATCATACAGGATTGTTGCATAGATACACACATGGCAGTGTGGTTTGCTGCCTCCATCCCCTTGTCATCTACATCTGACATTTCTCCCTGTGTTGTCCCTCCATGACCTCCCCACCTGCCCCTCCACTGTCTCTCCCTTGGCATCCCCCCACAGACTCCAGTGTGTGATGCTCCCCTCCCTGTGTCCATGTGTTCTCATTGTTCAACACCTGCCTATGAGTGAGAATATGCAGTGTTTGATTTTCTGTTCTCGTGTCAGTTTGCTGAGAATAATAGTTTCCAGATTCATCCATGTCCCTACAAAGGACACAAACTCATTGTTTTTTATGGCTACATAGTATTCCATGGTGTATATGTGCCACATTTTCCCAGTCCAGTCTATCATCAATGGGCATTTGGGTTGGTTCCAGGTCTTTGCTGTTGTAAACAGTGCTGCAGTGAACATTCATGTGCATGTGTCCTTATAGTAGAACAATTTATAGTCCTTTGGATATATACCCAGTAATGGGATTGCTGGGTCAAATGGAATTTCTATTTCTAAGGCCTTGAGGAATTGCCACACTGTCTTCCACAATGGTTGAACTAATTTACACTCCCACCAACAGTGTAAAAGTGTTCCTATTTCTCCACATCCTCTCCAGCATCGTTTGTCTCCAGATTTTTTAATGATTGTCATTCTAACTGGCATGAGATGGTATCTCAATGTGGTTTTGATTTGCATCTCTCTAATGACCAGTGATGATGAGCATTTTTTCATATGTTTGTTGGCTCATATATGTCTTCTTTTGAAAAGTGTCTGTTCATGTCTTTTGCCCACTTTTGAATGGGGTTGTTTGTTTTTTTTCTTGTAAATCTGTTTTAGATTCTGGATATTAGCCCTTTATCAGATGGGTAGATTGCAAAAAATTTTTTCCATTCTGTTGGTTTCCTCTTCACTCTAATGATTGTTTCTTTTGCTGTGCAGAAGCTCTGGAGTTTAATTAGATCCCATTTGTCTATTTGGCTTTTGATGCCAATGCTTTTGGTATTTTAGTCATGAAGTCCTTGCCTGTGCCTATGTCCTGAATGGCTTTGCCTAGATTTCCTTCTAGGGTTTTTATGGTGTTAGGTCTTATGTTTAAGTCTTTAATCCATCAGGAGTTAATTTTAGTGTAAGGTGTCAGGAAGGGGTCCAGTTTCTGCTTTCTGCACACTACTAGCCAGTTTTCCCAACACCATTTATTAAACAGGTAATCCTTTCCCCATTGCTTGTTTTTGTGAGATTTGTCAAAGATCAGATGGTTGTAGATGTGTGGCATTGCCTCCAAGTCCTCTGTTCTGTTCCATTGGTCTGTATCTCTGTTTTGGTACCAGTACCATGCTGTTTTGATGACTGTAGCTTTGTCATATAGTTTGAAATCAGGTAGCAAATCACACTTTATTTTCTTATTTGTGCCCAGTATTTTGTTTGAGAAGATTGCCCAGTATTTTGTTTGAGAACATTTTGTTTTATGTAGCAACAGTTAATTTTTATTGTATAATATTCCATTTTACAGGTACATCACAATTTTTTCATTCTACTGCTGGTAAATATTTAATTTTTTCTAGTTTTAACCATTAAGAATAGTCCGTTCATAATCATTCTTATATGCACATCTTGAGCACAGCCGCATTTGTTTCTCTAAGGCAATGATTCTCAGTTTTGTTCACAAACCAACATCATGGCATCAGCTAAGAATTTGATAGAAATGCAAAGTTTGGATCTCCTTCTCAGACCTACTGAATCAGAAACTCGGGGTGAGGCCCAGCAATCCTTTAAGTTATTCTGATGCATGCTAATTCATAATCTCTGCTCTAGAGTATATAACTGCTAGTTAACTGAGATTAATATTTTAAATTTTGCTGGATGCCCGTGCTGTATGAGAGTTCTCATGAACTCTCTATCCTTGGCAAACTTTAAATCTTTGCCCATCTAATGGATGTGTAATGATATCTAATTATGTTTTACATTTACACTTCCTTAATTACTAATAAGATTGACAACCTTTTCATATGTTTATTGGCCATTTAAATTTTCTCTTTTGTGAAGTGCCTGCTGAAGTCTTATGCCCACTTTTCTGTTTGAATGTCTCATACTTATTGCTTTGTAAGATTTTTTTATGTATTGCGAATATTAGTCTTTTGTCAGCAATATATTTTTTTTTTTTGAGATAGAGTCTGGCTCTGTCACCCAGGCTGGAGTGCAGTGGTGTGATCTTGTCTCACTGCAGCCTCCGCCTCCCAGATTCAAGCAATTCTCCTGCCTCAGTCTCCCAAGTAGCTGAAACTATATGTGCGTGACACCATGGCCAACTAATTTTTTGTATTTTTAGAAGAGATGGGGTTTCACCATGTTAGCCAGGATGGTCTTGATCTTCTAACCTTGTGATCCATCTGCCTTGGCCTCCCAAAGTGCTGGGATTATAGGCGTCAGCCACCTCGCCTGGCCCTTTTTAAATCTTTTTGTGTGTCTTTTTTAAAAGTGGTCAAAATAATCATTCTTTCTTATTTTAATCTTTGGCTCTGAATTCCACCTGAAAGCAATTTTTATATATAGTATGAGATAGAAGTCCAGTTAATTTTTTAGAATACTGATGCCCAGTTGTCCCAGCATCAGTTATTTTTAAAGGTTACCTTTTTCTGTTGCTCGGAATTGATGCCTTTTTGATGAGTATATCAAGGATCTGTGTGCTTGGTCTGTTTCTCTGGGCCTTGTGTTTCGCTGGTCTGTTTGTCTGTCTCTGCATCAGTACCACACAGTTTTTAATATTGTTGCTGTATAGTGAGTCTTGATATCTTTAAGAAAATCTTGGCTATTACTGACTTTTGATACTTCCAAATACATTTTAGAATCAGCTTATCTAGTTCCACCAAAAAGTTTTTTAACTTTGTGATTATGACAGGCATTGCACTGAATCTATCAATAATTTTGACGATTATTTGCAATCTTTACAATTATTGAGACTTCCTATCCATGACTGTATGGTATGATCCTTTATTTAATATCTTCCTATAATGTTTTATAATGTTCTCTATGGAGATTTTCCATCCTTTGTTTTTGTTTTGTTTTTGAGATGGAGTCTCACTCACTGTATGTGTGAGTCTAACTCACTGAGTGCAGTGGCACCATCTAGGCTCACTGCAAACCTCTGCCTCCTGGGTTCAAGTGATTCTCCTGCCTCATCCTCCCTAAGTAGCCGGGATTACAGATGTGGTTACCATGCAGTTTATTTCTGTATTTTTAGTAAAGACAGGGTTTTGGCATGTTGGCCAGGCTGGTCTCCAACTTCTGACTGCCTCAGCCTCCCAAAGTGCGGGGATTATAAGCATGAACCACCACGCCTAGCCCCATCCTTTGTTATACTTACTGTCACAACTGCATATTTTTAATGCTGTTATTAACAGCATTTAAAAAAATTTCATTTCTGACATAAGTATGTTTAAAATAAGGATTTTTATGGAAGTTTTCTTCTATTTCTAGTATGCCAAGAGATTCCTCATGAATGGATTTTGAATTTTATCATGTTTTCTTCCTTATTCTGTTTTCGTGTTAAATTTTATTGGTTTTAAACCAACCTTGATATCTGCAGCTAAGTGCAACTTGATCCTGATGTTATTCTTTTTATATATTGCTGAATTTCATTTTTATTTGGTGTGTTTGTATCAATATTCATGGTTCAGATCGATCTGTAATTTTGCCATATTGTGTTTAGGTGTCAGAATGTTACTAGCCGCGAACAATGCGCTGAAGAGTTTTTCATTCTGCTGTTCTCTGTTGTAAGAGGTTTAGTTAATGTTAATTATTTCTTCTTTAAATGGTTGCTGGAACTTATTAGTGAAGCTCTTTGGGCCTAAGTTTCTCATATGGAAAGTTTTTAAACTACTCATTCAGTTATTTTAGTGGTTAAAGATCAAGTCAGCGCCAGACACAGTGACTCATGCCTGTAATCCTAGCACTTTGGGAGGCCGAGGCAGGAGGATTATCTGAGCCCAGGGGTTCCAGACCAGCCTGGGCAACATGGTGAGACCCTGTCTCTACCAAAAAAAAAAAAAAAAAAAAAAATCAATGCAGACTCTTTCTTCTCAAGTTGGTTTATTAAATTGCACTTTTAAGGAATTTATTTTGTCTAAATTTCCAAATTACTGGAATAAATTCATTCTCTGTAGTTTATTTTTGAATGTCTACAGATCAGTAGGTGTCTCCTTTGTAATATTGATTAGCTATACCTTCTCTCTTATCAAGAGTATTGCATTAAAGTTATATAAACTACCGTTGTGTGTGGCAGCTAATTATTACGAATCTCCAAGAACTACCCAACACGATAATGACTCAATCTGTGGTGTGTGCGGCAGTCACAGTGGCTTGTCTGAGTTTTATTTAATGGCACACTGTTTGGGTCTACATTTGGTCTTTGTGTTTTAGCTGTGTATTATGGTCGTGATTGATCACGGTGCTCCCACAGAGAAGGTACAATTGGAAAGATAAAATATTAGGTGACAGAAAGCAAGTAAGGAGAGAGTTTTAAAAGGAAAGTAGTGTCCAGGAAAGTCCAAGGGGAGGACAAAAAAGTCTTATATTAGACAAATAGCTTTTATTAACAGTGTTTAATTGAAAGTGGTCAACATTTTACTCTCATTTAAAATTTAAGACCTTAAATTTATTTCTTAAAGTATTTACAGTTCCAAAATGCACTAGGCACCAGAACTTTGAAAATTCTTAGCCAGATAAATTACAAGTACACTTTCTCAGTTCTTCAAGTTATTACTTGAAGCTCAAGGATGAAATGCAGTGACAGGGAATTTGGGAAGCTTTTTGTTCCTTCTGTTTCTCCTGCAGATATCATGGCTGAAATCCAGAATTCTGTAGTGCTTTCATTTTCAAAAAATTCTGAATTACCTTTCTTTAAATTAAATTTTGATTTTTTTTTTTACATGGCACATTTCTTATTTTGCTCATTTGCCAAGGGCCATTTAAATTGAGGCTGTGTATGAAGCTGTGCTGAGATGCACGGGGGAAGCTTGCGGCGGTGTGGAGGTGGGTAGTCGTGCCTCTCATCTGTGGATATGCTGTGTAAATGAACCATTAAAGATGGCTTTGTCTTTTCCTTTAACTCCAGGAACTGGTGGCCCTGAAGCCTTGTAAAGCTGCGGAACTGGTTGCTACCCACTTTTCTGGACATATTGAAACGGTCATTGAAAAACTTCAGGTACATATTGCAGATATATATTGGGAAAAAATATCCAGTGGAGAGATGGTTATTAAATTTTCATCTGAGAAGTTTTGATTGTAGTGATTTCTTCAGTTGATATTTATTAGCAGTTTCTATTAGGTTGCTGCAAAAGTGATTGTGGTTTTTGCCATTTCTTTAATGACACCAACCTAATATGCTGTGTGTGCGCGCGCGCATGCAGTTATGGGATGATCTCTTAGTTTGGAAATGAGGGAGTTCATCTTTGTGCGTAACAAATATGAGCATCAAAGAAGCATTTCTGAAACTATTATGTACTTATTTTAGAAATCCTAATCCGCAGGTCTCTCTTCCCCGTTTTCTTTTGCTGTTGGATCCACAACCCTATTTTCTTTGAGATTCAGATTTATTCAAAACTTTGTCATCCTGAAATTGTGCTGTTCAGAATTTGCCTTGGAGAATCTTAACTAGAGTACAGCTATATGCATGGCACATGTTGAGAAGCTCAGTTAGACGTACTATTAGTGGACTGTTTCAGGTGTTCCACTTACCACTTACCATGGCAGTGCCCATGTCGAGTTTGTGCATTGTCATTGTAGCCACAAGTGATAGAGGTAGGGAATAGGACAATGACAGGGACATGAAGCACCACCCGGAGTCCTCAAGTGACAATAATAGTGGCTGGGAATAGCTGTGCAAGAGGAAAATCAGAGCAGTGAGTAGGAGGCAGCTGACATGAGAGACAAAAATATGGAATTCATTCATTCGAATACTTAGTGCAGCCCCATTCTCTACCAGTGTGCTGTGCCCTGGGGACACAAATAAGAATACAACCCTTTCTTAAACGTTCCTATAGAACAGAGAAGCACTTGCATAATTACAGTCTGGTGTTAGAAGAGCAGTACTAGAGATATGGGAAAAGTACTGTAGGAACAAGGGAAGGAGAGAGTGGTGGATGGTGAGAAATACAAGAATGTCCAGAGAGCCCTAATCTGGTCTTGCGTGCTTAATGTCAGATTTCCACACCGAGACTTGGGCAGGGCTTTCTCGATAAAAAGGTTCTGGGCACGTAAAGCCTTGAAGGCATGAAGCAGCATGCATGCTTAGAGAACCTTCAGATCTGTATGAAGCATGGCATTGGGAGGGTGATGGTGGAAGTGGCATTAGATTCAGCTACTAGGGATAGGTGGAGGGGAGGGGCTAAACTAGAGGAGTTGGAATATATACCTTGCAGACAAATACGGAACGGTTTCATATGTGAGGCTATGAAATTTAAACTGTCTTCTGTGTACTGAGAATCACTGAAGCTGTTTTAAGCTAAAGAGCAGTATCTAGATCCATTTTACAGAGTTAACTTTGGATAGCAGTGGAGAGAATGGACTGAAAGGAGAGCAAATGGAGGTCTAGGCAAAAGATGGAGAGGACTAGCACTAAGTCAGTGGCAGTTGGAGAGGACAGATTTAGGATATTTTTGTGAAGTAAAATGTATAGGATCTGGAAATTATTTGAATGTGACAGGAAGAGTTAAAAACAACTCCCAGAGGCCGGGCGTGGTGGCTCACACCTGTAATCCCAGCACTTAAGGAGGCTGAGGTGGGTGCATCATGAGGTCAGGAGTTTTAGACCATCCTGGCCGAGACGGTGAAACCCTGTCTTTACTAAAAATACAAAAATTAGCCGGGTGCAGTGGCGGGCACCTGTAATCCCAGCTTCCCGGGAGGCTGAGGCAGGAGAATTGCCTGAACCCAGGAGGCGGAGGTTGCGGTGAGCTGAGATTGCGCCATTGCACTCCAGCCTGGGTAACAAGAGCGAAACTACGTCTCAAAAAGAAAAAAGAAAAAATTCCCAGATATCAAGCTTGGATGTGTAGCATGATAATGATGAGGTTCATTAACTCAAGAAAAAGACTCATCCATTAATTCGATAAATACTCCTGTACCTGCTCTGGGCAAAAGCATTGAGTGCTGAGGGTACAAAAACATGTAGGTTTGATCCTGCTCTCTAAGAAGACAAATAAGCCAAAAGGCAATTACAGACTAGTTTGCTTGGAATGATGGTGGAGCCCAGGATGCTGGAGTAGCACACAGAAGGACATGAAACCCAGGCTAGTGAGGGAGGGGAGGAGGTGGTGTCTGCCAAAAGTACTCTTGTCTCCAGAGCTGCTCTCCCCTTTCAAAGTCAGCAGTTCTGGTAAATTTTGCCTGTGGCGGTGGCTGTGTTGTCATTGTCCTTTAAGATTTAAAATGAGCACTTGTAGGATTTTCTTTTCTTTTTCTTTTTTTGTAGTCTCTAAGGCTACTAAGAGACGGACCCAGTAGATGAGTAGAATGTCATTCATCAGACAAATACATCAAAGTAAAGCATGGGCTGGGCACAGTGGCTCACACCTGCAATCCTAGCACTTCACAAGGCCCAGCCGGGCAGATTGCTTGAGCTCAGGAGCTCAAGACCAGTTGCGGGAACATGGTGAAACCCCATCTCTACAAAAAACAAATCTAGAAAAGTAGCTGGGCGTGATGATGCATGCCTTTCTTCCCAGCTATCTGGGAAGATCACCTGAACCCGGGAGGTGGAGGCTGCAGTGAGCTGTGATCATGCCACTGCACTCCAGCCTGGGTGACAGTGACATTGTGTTTCAAAAAGAAAAAGAAAATTAAAGTATGATGGATTAAAAAAAAGGTGTCTATTTGTGGTCTGTTTGTATTTGCTTTATTGCATGGCTTTTAAAATTGTGCAAGAATCTCACATAGTACCTTTACTTACAAAGTAAACAATCTTACAAAGTACCTTTACTTTTGATGGCAAGAAATATGCCACTGACCAATTGTTTTCAGAATTCTTAAAATGAAAAATATGCCAGAATGTTAAGTTATAACCAAGAAGAAAGTCACGTAAAATGACGCAAAGCAATAGGGAAAAAGTAGAAAATCAGACTGATAAAAATAAATGTCTTTTAAAATCATTTTTTATACTAATATTTTTCATCTTTAAGAGTCATCCATTTTTTATAGGTAAAGTGTGAATGTGTCAAAAAATAAAAAACAAAAACCTAAACAATAACAATTTTTGCATAGAATTCCCAAGAACTTAGAAATATTATTCATACTTTTGTACGGTTTGAAGGTTTATCTCATTTAACCCTTCTATGGTGTGCGGATGGCAGAGAAGATAGTACCGTCTTCTTTTTTTTCCCCCACATAAGGAAATTGAATTGCTCAGAGGATGAGTAACTTACAGAAAGTCATGTAGCGAGTAAATGGCAAAACAGAACCAAGATTTGATGGTGCATTGATTGCTAACATGTTGCAGTTTGGTTGGCAGGCACCTCTTCTGTAGTCGTTTATATTGTTCATGAGCTGTTTTGGTGGTGGTTGTTAGCTTGGACCTCAAACTCCCATCCTCCTGGGACGAACTGTCTCACAGCAACCCATTGCCACAGGAGGACCGGTTAAGGCAGAGTGAAACCCGTCGGTACAGCCAGAGCTCAGCATCCACAGAGCAGTTCCAAGCACCTGCCGCTCCGAGGGTCCTTGTGCTGGGAACAGCTTGGGGATTTGTCTCAGGAGAGGGCTTTTTTTGGCGATAATAGGGTATTTGTGTTCCTTTTACACTGAGAGTTGAATGTGCAACAGTGATTAGAATTATTGAGAAGACATGAAGAACCTCCAAGTGATTCTTTAGCATTTCTTAGATCTGTACAGAGGGCTTAATGGAAACAGTCAGGTATCTGTGCGTTTTAAAGGGATACGTTAGAGTAGTTCTTTACTATGGAAGAATTTGAAAAATTTGTTTTAATGTTTAATTGCATTTCTTATTGTTTTTCAGAACCAGGTTTTGCTTTTCAAATTTTTGAGGAGTCTTCTTGACCCAAGGTATGTTAATAAACTTTAGTCTTTCATAATGTATATGAGAAATAAAAGGAAATAAATTGAGATTAAGTTCCCAGCCCATGGGATCTAAATAGTATAATTAGCTCTGAATTTTTAATATTAGTAGGAGTAACTGTTGCACAGATAATGTGAAAATACAAGATCTGAACAATAGATTGTATCTTGAGATAATATATTTCTTTCCATTTGAACGTGAGCAGCATATATGGTGAGTTCTCATCAGTGTAAATAAAATCATGAAGCCACGCCACACGACATGGATCAGAAGAATTAGCTTCCCCTCCTGCCCTGTTGCATCCTGCCTGCTCCTTACTTCATGCGGGAGACTGATGGTAGCTCTGCTTTCCAAAGTTAACACTTGGTTCCCAGCCTACCTCTATAACTGTATTATGTTTCAAACTCCGACTTAATGTGTTCGGTTTTAAACAACTTCCTGATGGTGGGAAGGAAAGTTGAAATGTGTTTTTCAACTGCTGCTCTGATGCTTATATCAAATAAAAACAAACTGAAGGAGATGACGAAACTAGCAGTGGATTTGTAGGCAAAGCAGTTCTGCATATGAGGTTTCAAAGCTTTGCTGTAACTACATACATTGGGAGTTGAGGGCAGTAATGTTTAGTATCCTTTAAGATGGTTATTCTTGACCAATAGTGTGCGTCAGAATCGCCTACGAAGCTTTTAAAAATTCGGATGCCTTGGCCCAACCCACAGAATCACTGGGAGTTGGATTATTTTGATGCACACCTAGAGTGAAGCATGGAATTTTCCAAGATGGCATCGCTTTCATATCAGACATACACACCGTAGGTGTCATTATAATACATGCTGGCCATCGAAAATAACTATTTACTTACTTTAGCAATTGTAATATTGGTTTTGGTTATTTCAGTGTTCTGTGCTATTTTAAAATACCAGTAATTTGTTGATTGTAAACATTTTTTGAAAGCTCAACCATTTCAATCTTGAATAGGCTGTGATACATTTAAATTTAAGTCAAACAAATGTGTATGTGTAGATGTTTACTAAAAGCAGACTGACTGCATACCCCCCTCCGCTTGTGTTCAAGACCTTTTTGAAGTATCTGTGTTTTAATTCTGTGTCCTCAGATTATTCCTGAAGCTAGACATGCTTTTTTAAAATTATTTTTAAATTCCTATTAATCATTTGTATTTCCCTCAGAGTCAGTTCAGGCCCTTTTCTATTCCCAGATAATTCTGATGGAAATATTTTGGAATTGAGTTGGGAGTGGGAGGAAAGGAAGGAAGGTGGGAAGAGGTGGTAGGGAGAGCTGGGAGCAGGAAACATGGAAATGGGGCGGAGGTGGGAGCTCAGGGGAGGCGGAAGGAAACACTAGCCCCCCTTCTCAGCCCTTTCTCCAGAGCCTGTCCACCTCTTTTCTGTGGCACAGTTCCCTCTTTTCCTCCCCCATATGTTTCCCAGTGTTAGATCCATCCACTCCTCTTCCCTTAGGATAATGTATTTTAATCAAGTCCTTTTCCTCTGCCATCCTACCTGTAGAGACTCAAGCGCGAAGGACAGAAGAAGCTCAGCTTTGAACTTGGCATTTTCTCAAATGAACTATGAAAAGTGATGGTGACCAAGTATATATTTTTTAATTTAAACAAAGCAGTATTAGGTCATATAAATTTCTGTGTCGAAGACTTAGTGTTCTGCTTGGAGAATCCCAGGTCTTGGATTCATCATAGTTTATCCTCTTTCTTTACATCTTACATAGGAGGCAGGCATTGATTTAGATTATGCGCTAAACTTTTTGAATTTGATGTTTGGCGTTTCAACCATTTTTTAATAAAAAGCAAATACAAATAATGTATCTGCTTTGGCATTGCAGTCACTACTTAAACTAAATAGTACCAAAAGAAAGGCATATTCCAGGCATCAAAGGTCTTTAGTGGACAGTCTTGCTCCATTGTTACCTACAACTAGATTTGAAAGATGTTAGTTAGGTAAGACCTTTTATGAATGCTGTGAAAGTTGTTTTGTTCACCAGTAAACCACAGATAGTTTTACTTAAGAAACAGACACATTATTTCCTTAAGCTAACCCTAACCAGATGGTCACTTCAAACATTACTCCTTTCCTGTCGTGTCCATTCAGGTGCAAGGTCCTTCCTTACCTACCTTGAAAAGAGGCAGCGCACTCACAGTCCTTCCTCTCCCCTTCCCCCAAAGAGCGGCAGGACCAGGAGTGACCTCACTCTGACAACAGCCAAATTTCCAGCTTTACTTTTGTCTACCAGAAATTAAGAGCCTTGAAATAACCAGCTGACCTCAGCCCTCCCTTTAAAAAGAGCTCAGCTTTGTATTGATCTGCTCCAAAATATCAAAGACCAAGGATTCTGCTTTGAGAGTCCCAATTCTTGGATTCATCGTATTGTATCCTCTTACTTTATGTCTTACAGAGAGGCAGGCATTGATTTATATTATGCTTTTAAGTTTATTTTTGAATTTGTTGTTTGGCATTTCAATCATTTTCATATAAAGATCATTTTATACAATAGCATCTCAAGCGAACCCATAAAAACCTCCTTAATCCATAATATAAATATGTATATAATACTAGTTGTATATTGAATTCTGGATTGAGGGAGAGAAAGTAGATTAAGAAGGTTGAGTGCAAAAGGAGTGAGGAAAAAAGAGGAAGTCCTCCCTTTCTTGCTTTCAGAGCTGTTCTTAGACACAGTTTTGAATTGTGTAAAGTTTGTTTTTGGTGTCCTTTGAACCCTACCTCCACCCCGTTTTGTCCCCTTCTTTCCACGATGCAGGGTACATGCTCTTCTTCAAGCTGTCTGCATTATAAGCACACCCAGATATAGAGGGTTCTTCATAGATTTAAAAAATTGAAATTACCTTCCTCCCTTTCCCCGTCAAAACTGTTTCTGATTGCTTTGTGGATCTCTGTATTGTATGGCCCTTTTTACAATGAGGAATATATAAATAACACATGAAAACAACAAAGCATTTAAAAGATGGGAAAAAGCTCAAAACCTTTTCCTAATACGGTTGACCTCAAGGGTAAGAAGAAAGCAGAGAGCATGGGTTGGTTTACATTAGTCTCTGATTGACTAACTTCTCATTACATTTTAGCCTTTTTTAGTGACTGTGCTTCTTAACTAACCTAAAGTAAAGGATTAGAGTCTTTTCGGGTACTGGGAAAAGGGAAGTGGGAAACGGAGGGAGTACGGAATACGGAAATAGGGTCAAGCATCAAGAATGGGTAGACTGGCCCTGCCTCGCAGTTTACCTGACAGCCAGCTGTGAAACATTTTACCTTTGTTTCTTCTCTTTTTGTTCTTTTTAAGCAATAGATATTTTTAACCTACAGGTTTTCCCCCCATGAAACTCCTAAAGCAGCATTATGAAGGAAAACAGTTATTTTGAGATGAGGACTGCTTGTGTGTTTGTATTATTGCAGGGTTGCTTTTTTTGCTCTTGCCCCCAATGCCTGAGTTAATAGGCATTCCTGTATATCTAGTTTATGCATATTTAATTTATGCATATTTAATTTAACGTTTACATGTATGGCCAGGCATGGTGGCTCATGCCTATAATCTCAGCACTTTGGGAGGCCGACGCAGGCAGAGAAACTGAGTTCAAGACCAACCTGACCAACATGGTGAAACCCCGTCTCTACTAAAAATACAAAAATTAGCCAGGCGTGGTGGCACATGCCTGTAATCCCAACTACTCAGGAGGCTGAGGCAGGAGAATCGCTTGAACCTGGGAGGCAGTGGTTGCACACACACATACAGGCACATGAATATTTACGCGTATCAAGTTGTTTTTGAGAGGGTAGCTTTTATTTTGTCAACAGCATTTTTAAAGGAGTAGATCATCCAGTTGAATTCATGTGTATATTTTGCTGTGTCTTTACCCAGTGGCTTTACATTATCTTTGTTATGTAAATAGTTTCCTCAGTTGAATTAATTGACCTGCAAAGATATTGGTGGCATCTGTACATAGAAAGATTAGTTTAGGGGGAGAGGGGGTTAATCCTCCAGAAGCAAATTACTTGCCTGAATTGAGGCCAACAGCTTAGGAGAGAGGATTTGCATCCTCTTCTAACTCTTTCCTTTGGGACAGCGGCTACATAAAGCCCACTCCATCCCTACCCCCTGGGTGCCTGGGTGCATTCCTGCTGGCTGCTGGTGATGAATTCTCACAGGAGTTCTCCTGATGTGCTTACATCCAGATGCAGGTTCCTTATGCAGTGGGGATGCTCGAAGGATAATACAAAAGGACACGTGTTTTTTGTGAGGCCATGAGCAGAAGGAGTAAAAGAGAATGCGGGTGCATATTTATATTCAGAATATTTTCCTCAGTATGATTTTCCTGGTAATGTTGATTTAGCCTTTGTTAACAATATTCTGAAGGCTTCTGAAACATATAGTATGATTTTCCTGTAAGAAAAAACACATATTTCACATTGTATCTCAAAGTCCTTAATCCAAGTAAAGTAAAAATCGAACATTGTTAAGAAAATGAGTAACTTCGCCAAGGAGCAAAATATAGATTATGGAAATGGTTATGCATTGGATTTTAGTTGAATCTGTCAGTGTTTCTGTTTATATTTTTGAAGGGACATTTTAAGATATTGATAGTATTGAAATAGTATATTTCAAAGTTAAAATACAAAATTAGAAGATTATATATGTTTATGAACTTTGACATATTAAAAAAAATACGTGTTTCAGTGAGTGCCTACAGTGGCCAAGGTAATGGTTCATTTTGCCTGGCCTACCCTAGGTCTTATATCTTTGGGTAGTATTTTGCCAGCAACTCAAATTCAGCCTTTTAAATTGTAACACATCATCACCTCCTAATCACCAATCAGTCAGCTCCTCTCTTTCTGTCTCTCTCTCTCTCTCTCTCTCTCTCTATATATATATATATATATATACACACACACACGCGCACACACACACACACAGACACACACACACACACGTTTATCACATATATATT